GCACATAGATTGCTGTCTACCATTGTGCATACATGTTGACGTGAAATCTTACATTTGCTGCACATAGATTGCTATCTACCACTGTGCATACATGTTGACGTGAAATCTTACATTTGCTGCACATAGATTGCTATCTACCACTGTGCATACATGTTGACGTGAAATCTTACATTTGCTGCACATAGATTGCTATCTACCACTGTGCATACATGTTGACGTGAAATCTTACATTTGCTGCACATAGATTGCTATCTACCACTGTGCATACATGTTGACGTGAAATCTTACATTTGCTGCACATAGATTGCTATCTACCACTGTGCATACATGTTGACGTGAAATCTTACATTTGCTGCACAAGCCAATCACAGCCTGTCATGGGAGACAGGTGCACACAAGATTTCCGTTGTTTAGCGCACTGGTACAGCTGTCACATGCGGCATGAAGGCAACCTTCAAGTGAATGTTTCTTTTTACATCATCCTTTATAAGGACGTAGCTGTTTTAAATTATGCAAGCTGGCATTTTTTAATAGCCGGTTTTGTTAATATTGGGTCTTTTTTTTTTTTTTTTTTGTTCAGTCACTGATAACTGTAGTTGACTTTCATCGAACATTGGGTCCTTTGAGAGGTGGCGGAATATGTCGGGCATATGTTGTTAAGGGCGCTAGACAGGTGTCTTGACATATCGACTAAAACATACTTGGTAGACATATGGGGCGCATTCAGTTAAACATCTTACATTACAGGCGTATTGACATATTGACTAAAACATCCTACAAGACAGATGTATAAACATATCGACTAAAACATCCTACAAGACAGATGTATAAACATATCGACTAAAACATCCTACAAGACAGATGTATTGACATATCGACTAAAACATCCTACAAGACAGATGTATTGACATATCAACTAAAACATACTACAAGACAGATGTATTGACATATCAACTAAAACATACTACAAGACAGATGTATTGACATATCAACTAAAACATCCTACAAGACAGATGTATTGACATATCGACTAAAACATCCTACAAGACAGATGTATTGACATAACGACTAAAACATACTTAGTAGATGTGTAGGCGCATTCACTTAAACATCCTACAAGACAGGCGCTTTGACTAATTAACTAAAACATCCTACATGACAGATTATTGATATATCGGCTAAAATATGCTACATGATATATGTATAGAAAGTATCGACTAACAAAACCATACGGTGTTGTACTAAGGTCAGTAATCTCTGCTAATCTTGACTGCGGCTAAAAGGACAAGGTTAACTTATTCACGTTAGGCCAGTGTTTTTTTTTGTTAAACATCAGATCAAACACGACGATCAAATATCTGATAGCTTTGTCATGTGGTGTCAGCTCAGCACTATCTGCCTCCTTATAGCACACCAATAATACGTCACACCCATACTATCTCCCTCCTTATAGCACATCAATAATATATCACACTCATACTATCTCCCTCCTTATAGCACATCAATAATATATCACACCCATACTATCTCCCTCCGTGTATCACCTTATCATCCCCCACCTTGATACCACCCTACATCCCAACAACACTCTCCCCTACACACGAGTCCGTGTCCGTGCATATATCACCGAGCTTTGACCTGTGTTCTCCCAACACTTGAGTCATGTAACAGGACGTTGTGTTGCAGTTGACTGTCTTGTTGGGCGAGAGAGAGAGAGAGAGAGAAAAAAATGGACTGTGTGCACGGATTTAGGTCGTCACTTGAGGTTGATTCATTAGCCCTTGTAGGCCGTGTGTGTTGACTGCCGCTGTCACTCCCGTCTGACTCCTGTCAGTGGATGTGTGCACCCTGTGCTAGTGTACATGTACGTGTGTCATGTCTAACTTCATACAACTCTCGTGGTTTTCTTGTTGGATACTCTAGTCTAGTGGTGCCGTCTTTATTCTATGAGGTCAAACTAACTGCGTAATGTAACCGGTTGACCGAGTTAAGGTCAGGTGTTTTTAGTGTAATCACAAGTGGTTTGCTTACAAGACTTTCGGTATTAATATATACAAAACGTTTTCTAAGTTGGTGAAATCTCTGTTGAGCCCTGTGTAGTGTGCATGCGATCTAATCTTAATGTAGCGGTGAATCAATGTTTATCGACAGGTGTCACAGTTAGAACGATGACATAGGTCTTTAGGTGGATGAAATGATGACTAGGGGCTAGTGTTTAGGGAATAATTGATTATGTGGTGATTACAGCTTTTATAAAAACCGTGTTGAAACAACAGCACTGCGGGTGTTGGAGATAGGAAATGGGCCATGTTGGGCTGTGTGGTAAAGCTAGGAATTGGGCCACGTTTGGCCGTGTAGTAAAGCTAGGAATTGGGCCACGTTTGTCTGTGTGAAGCCAGTAAAAGAATGTTGAAATAAAAGAATGTTGGAATGCTGGGTTGTGACTGGTGTATATACGTGCAGTCAACCAGTCGGGTGGTTGTGGCGGCTACACAACCTGGAGCTCAGTACGCCACTTACGGCCAACTTTTTATGGCCGTGTTGAAGATCTGTTTTATTTAATCGCTTTATGGCCCTGTAGTATACATTTGGTTCTGTTTATCGACGCGTTGCATGTGTGACAGATTTTAGGACGAGGTGTACGTAATAAATGTTTTAACATTTCCCCTTAAGTCACGATATTGCTAGGAACAGTAACTCTATTGGTCGATTATCTCCCTTTTTATTTATAGGCTCCCCACTAAGTCACTTTTCTGGCGTGTATTTAGTTTTTAATGGCGGCGCTACGTGGGGTGGATGAACCGTAAAGGGGGAGAATAGGAACTTTAATCTCGGGGAGAATGTAAAGGGGAGTAAGCAACATTAAAGGGAGTTAAAAGAGTGCGAACTCTGTAGCGTGAAATAAAGGCAAGGGGCATGCATCATGGCAAAGCTGTGGGTGTAAGGGAAATAACTCTCCCAATCCCCTGTCACGGTGTAGGTGTATGATTTATGTGGAATTAAGTTTCATTTCACAGGATCTAGCAGATCACACAACTCTGTAGGATGGGATGGCTAGAAATATAAATGTCTGTTCCTTAAAGTTGATTTCATAATAACTGTATGGTTGGACTCATCGTCTATATGAGTTTTACTAACAGTTGTTGTTAATTTGATTAATTAACCTTGTAGTACTTATACTGTGGGGATGGTGGTATTAAATTTAGTTGAGTAATTGTGAAGGCAAGTGATGAAAAAGTTTAATGGAAAATTAATTACAGCCATCAGATACAGGGAAGTGGTGCACATAATTAATAACAGTTTCATTGCTAATTATAACATTGACTGAAACTAGGGGAGATAATTGTAAGTGGGTGATTGCACTGGCGTCCTGACAAAGGGAAGTAACACACCCAGTTTACAATGACACACCTCTGAGTCCAGCATGTGTTAGTGTCTTCAGCTGTAAGATAGGATGGTGACCCAGCACTTGTGCTGGTGTAAGTAGTGAGACCCTTGTGATAGTGGTAGCAGTTGTTTCATGTGGGCATGTCTTCTCTTGGTTCAGATATGTGGATAACTACAGCAACTTATGGATCAATGGATTACTAAGACTGTTTGTGTAGCAATGGATAACTTGGATAATGTGTGTATCAGTGGATTTCTAGTTGTGGATTAACCTAGTCAGTGGATGATTGATAGGACATTTTGAAAAATTGCTTCCAAATGTTGGATACAATTATTTCTACACACTGAGTTCATTACTGAGTGGATTAATATGACATCAATGTTTGGCAAGTTAAAAGGCGTAAGTAAAGCTGGTTGACCCTCAGAACAAATAGATCTATATTCACTCTGTCTTACTACAGATATTTTAATTTATCTTTATCCTAGTTCTACAGTTTTACTACTGTATTATCCACATTTACCACGGATATTTTATCTATGTAATGGTCGCTGCTGTATGAACTTAACAACTTTCTCCTATTTTGCCTGTTGTAGTTTTTTTTTTTGTAGACCCTTAAAGTTTAAAATACTATAAATTAGATATTTGTATCTGTATCGGTTTAAGGTTAACATTGTTTTGGTTGAAAATCTTTCTTTCTCTTCAAGAAAAGTGTGTTTAATGCTAGAAATACATCTGTCTGTTTAAAGAACTCTGTTTGTCCAGTTGCCAAATATTGTTGACAGATGCTGTTTGTGGAAGGTTTAGGAGAGACAATTGATTTTTTGAGGGGTTAAATCTTTCGACCAGAGAGCTAAAACTAAAATACAAGTACACTTAACACGAGATGAAACATTACTTAAAGTGGTGTCATTTGATGTCGTCACTGTTTCTTTAGTCTGTTGTTTAAAACACGCCCAAGTGGAGCAGGTACTTGACTTAAGTAGGGGCAGTAACTCACAAAATAGGCACTTGTTGTTACATTTTAAAATGGTGTAATGACAATTTTGTGATGTAATGTTACTTGTATTTCATGGCAGATCTGTGTAAGACACTGGATCTATTAGTTATTTGTTATTTAAACTTTAAACCCCAAGTGTCACTCAGTTAACTTGTAAAAAAACAGTTAAATGGGTTGTGTTAATATCAGCACTTTGTGGTTATTAAGACCTTGGGTTTGTCTACTGGACCTGTAATTCTCTTGCATTTGTGAGGATCCTACCACTGTCTGTTTAATTATTATTTGCGTAATCCTCGTATCAGCCACTATTTTTTACTAAATTAACTCTAATTTTTCACAATAATTTAAACTTTCTTTTTCTTGTTCTAGCAAAAAACTGATTGTTTTAACATTATAACGTTTTTAACAGTTTTTTTTTTTTCTATTAGCTGAACTGATTGTTTTATAAACTTGTAGTTGTGTTTAAATTCTATTGCTGAATTCAACATGTTGTAATAAAGACTACCAGAGTCCCAGTCAGTAATGCTACCTACATTTCTGACTGGGCTAGTTTGGTCTTATCTGATAGATGTGTCATGCCTGTGTTAATAGGTGTACCATTCTGTCTTCCCTAAGGCCATCCTGAGAGGCGGAGGTGATGGCACCAACAGGACCCTTAGCCCCTCCCCTCCCCAGCAGAGAGCACCCAGACCAGCGTCTGTGGGGGCTCCCTACTCCAGACCACCAGGCAAGCAGCTCATCTCAGTGGACTCTATACAGCTCAACAAGATCCTGGGGGAGGGGGAGTTTGGGGTGGTGCAGCAGGGGGTGTGGACCACAGAGACTGGAGAAAAGGTTGGTCCTTCTCTTTGTCTGCTAGAGTATTACTTTTCTGATGTAAGCTCTGTGATGGTGATGTAGAGGTTTCAGTATGAGTATCCACAAGAAACTTGAAATCCACCACCCTGTTCTTAACCATAGCTGTAGACAATTCAAAAGTTATAAATGGCCCCTGACAAAAGGTTTATTCCATTGTAGAGATGAAGTAGAGTTCATCTGTTTCAGTTGTATAGTCACCCAACATCATCCCAAAATGGGAAACTCACATAGCTGTTGCTTATAGTAAAGGTTACACAAGTTGTAAAACATTGACTCTCACAGCATAAGACAAATGTTTAGTGTCTGGTTTATGCAGTTTCATTATATAAGTTTGTATGTACAAAATCCAATTTAAATCAATCATTTAAAAAATAAATTAAAGAGTCTTTTCATAATTTTAAAATGTGTTGTAGTCAACCATCATATTAATAATCAATAGCTAGTGATTATTGTACAGTTACAGTTCTTTGTCATTTATATATATCCAGTTAAAATATCTTATTATACAAAATCAAACATTTTTGTAAGAAATGTAACTCTTACATTACTGTATTGATAAGTAGATTTATCAAATAATTGAATGTTAATGTAACTGATATGATTGTATTGGTGTTGATGAAATTATTGAATGTTAATGTAACTGATATGATTGTATTGGTGTTTATAAAATGATTGAATGTTAATGTAACTCCGATATGATTGTATTTGTGTTAATGAAATGATTGAATGTTAACATGAATCTGATATGATTGTATCGGTGTTTATGAAATGATTGAATGTTAATGTAACTGATATGATTGTATTGGTGTTGATGAAATGATTGAATGTTAATGTAAATGATATGTTTGTATTGGTGTTAATGAAATGATTAAATGTTAATGTAACTGATATGATTGTATTGATGTTTATGAAATGGTTGATATGATTGTATTGGTGTTAATGAAATGATTGAATGTTAATGTAAATGATATGTTTGTATTGGTGTTAATGAAATGATTAAATGTTAATGTAACTGATATGATTGTATTGATGTTTATGAAATGGTTGATATGATTGTATTGGTGTTAATGAAATGATTGAATGTTAATGTAACTGATATGATTGTATTGGTGTTAATGAAATGATTGAATGTTAATGTAACTGATATGATTGTATTGGTGTTAATGAAATGATTGAATGTTTGTTGCAGCTACAAGTGGCAGTAAAGAAACTGAGCAGGGAGAGAGTGAACACAGGGACCCAGAACTTCCTCAAGGAAGCTGCTATCATGCAGGATGTGGACCACGATCATATTGTCCGCATGTACGGCGTGGTGCTGGACACTGATGATAGTCTCATGATGGTCAGTCTTAGCAGCAGATCTTTAGCATTAGCTTTAATTTGCAATCATAATGTTGGTAGCATGGATTGATAGATTTTAACATCATCTTTTGTAACCCAGCAGTGAAACAACATAACCTAATCTGTACTGTATTGCTAAAGAGGGCTTGTTCGTTAATTAAAATCAATTTTGAGAACTAATTTTAGTTTGTATTGATCAATGGCCCAGGCTGGATTGTTTGGGAGAAGTTTTGTGGGTTTTTTTTTTTAAACAAAAGGTTTTTATATAATTGACTTCAACAGTAGAAGCAACATAAGCACACTGTTGCTTTAGAAACATGAGTGCTGCCATTTTGGGGGTCTGTAGACAGTTATGACAACCTTCCTCCAACACCCCCCCTTGTCTATGCTACTGGTATCTATAGTTTAGTAGTAATAACTGATGGTGTCACAAGCCCTATGGTGTAGGGGCTAAAGTATTATATATATATATATATATATATATATATATATATATATATATATATATATATATATATATATATATACTTGCTTTATGCTCATGTGGATATTGGTAATTGAAAAGTAAACTAATTCCTGTTGTTTTGTTGTTTCCTATTGCACTGTAGTATATTTTAGTGAGATTAAAGATGGAAGGAGTTAGTCTACAGAATGGAAGAAGTTAAGCTACTTTGTGTTAACCTCTGATTGTGTTGCCACAGGTGACAGAGCTGGCCCCCATGAGGTCACTGCTGGAGTGTCTCAAGGACCCCATGCTGCGGGTTGACCTGCAGATACCCAGGCTCTGTGACTACGCCCAGCAGGTGTCTGATGGCATGAGCTACCTGGAGAGTAAAAGGCTGGTCCACAGAGATTTGGCTGCCAGGAATATTCTAGTCTTCACTAAAAACCTGGTGAGAATCTCTCTCCTTTTTGGATAGTTCTAGCTACTCATATGGCTGTTAATGAATATTTCTCTCATCTTTTTGGATAACTCTCTCTGCTCATGTGTGTTAATGAATATTTCTCTCACTGTGGATAACTCTCTCTGCTCATGTGTGTTTATGAATATTTCTCTCACCTTTTTGGATAACTCTCTCTGCTCATGTGTGTTTATGAATATTTCTCTCACTGTTTGGATAACTCTCTCTGCTCATGTGTGTTTATGAATATTTCTCTCACCTTTTTGGATAACTCTCTCTGCTCATGTGTGTTTATGAATATTTCTCTCACCTTTTTGGATAACTCTCTCTGCTCATGTGTGTTTATGAATATTTCTCTCACTGTTTGGATAACTCTCTCTGCTCATGTGTGTTTATGAATATTTCTCTCACCTTTTTGGATAACTCTCTCTGCTCATGTGTGTTTATGAATATTTCTCTCACTGTGGATAACTCTCTCTGCTCATGTGTGTTTATGAATATTTCTCTCACCTTTTTGGATAACTCTCTCTGCTCATGTGTGTTTATGAATATTTCTCTCACCTTTTTGGATAACTCTCTCTGCTCATGTGTGTTTATGAATATTTCTCTCACTGTTTGGATAACTCTCTCTGCTCATGTGTGTTTATGAATATTTCTCTCACCTTTTTGGATAACTCTCTCTGCTCATGTGTGTTTATGAATATTTCTCTCACTGTTTGGATAACTCTCTCTGCTCATGTGTGTTTATGAATATTTCTCTCACTGTTTGGATAACTCTCTCTGCTCATGTGTGTTTATGAATATTTCTCTCACCTTTTTGGATAACTCTCTCTGCTCATGTGTGTTTATGAATATTTCTCTCACCTTTTTGGATAACTCTCTCTGCTCATGTGTGTTTATGAATATTTCTCTCACCTTTTTGGATAACTCTCTCTGCTCATGTGTGTTTATGAATATTTCTCTCACCTTTTTGGATAACTCTCTCTGCTCATGTGTGTTTATGAATATTTCTCTCACCTTTTTGGATAGCTATCTCTGCTCATGTGTGTTTATGAATATTTCTCTCACCTTTTTGGATAGCTATCTCTGTTCATGTGTCTGTTGTTAAATACTTCTCTTATGAGACCCAAGTGGGAAGTTTTAAAAATATTTGTCTATAAATATCTCACCTCATTCACTAGAATACTAAATATAGATCACTACTAGAGGATATAATATTTACTTCCTTACTACAAGATGAAATAAGCACTTCCTGCTAGTACTGTTTTTTTTTATAAATAGAAACAATGCAATTAGGCACATGAGCCCTAGTCTGTGTGACTCACCATACTTTCCTATCTAGGTGACATTATTTCATTCATGTAAACACTGAGGTATACTGACCTTTATCATAAAAAAATTCTTGAGCATGAAGTGTTATACCAGGTGTATTCATGTTTGTGTCATGTGATCATAACATCATGTGATACATGTGTTTACATGAACGGATTGTCATAACAATAACATAAACATGTTATGGTGTAGACTACCCTATCCTTGAATGTACATAACACAGTTGTTGTTTTAAACCCAGGTTAAAATCAGTGACCTGGGACTGTCCAGAATACTGGGAGCTGGTCAAGATTATTACCAGAGCAAGTTTAGTGTTAGTTTAAAGCTGCCCATTGCATGGTGAGTTCGTTAGCTAGTCAAATCATTAAGACAATGAATGTGGATGTGACTTTAAGAACATCACGCTTCTAATTTGATATTTTGCTCATTACACATAAATGACCGCCTCCCCTAAATGATGCAACTGATAAGATTCTGATGACATTTGACTCACCTGTTTGTACTGCCCCCCCCCCCTCAGGTGTGCACCAGAGTGTATCAACTATCTCAAGTTCACCACAGCCTCTGATGTCTGGTCCTTTGGTGTCCTGCTATGGGAGATGTTTACATATGGCTTCCAACCTTGGGCTGGCATGAATGGTCAACAGGTGGGTTAGATGTACCTAGAGTTGGACAGGTGGAATAGATGTAGGGTTGAGCTCAACAGGTGGGTTAGATGTACCTAGAGTTGAGCTGGACAGGTGGGTTAGATGTGCCTAGAGTTGAGCTGGACAGGTGGGTTAGATGTACCTAGAGTTAAGCTCAATATGTGGTTTGATATAGTTAAGCTCAACAGGTCTCTAGTGTTCATATGGGTTAGCTGTTAGCCAACTAACAGGTGTTTTGTCATTAGCTAGCAATTAATTAATGTTATGTTATTAGCTTGTAATTAATTGAACAGGTGTTATGTTATTAGCTTGTAATTAATTAAACAGGTTGTATTTTATTAGTTTGTAATTAATCAAACTTATGTCAGTAGCTGGTATTTGTTTTTTTAAAAAAGAGAATCAGCTTGTAACTGAATACCGTCACAGCCACCACTGTGTAGCTGCCCCTAAAAGTTAGTGCTTGTGTCTTATAAAGGGCCCAGTGTCAGGTAGAATTACCTCCCATAGATCATGGAAGTGGTACATGCCCCAAACACCATGTGCCTGGAGCTTTCAGTAACTTTATTATTTTAATTTTAAAGGGATGATCAGCTGGTAATTGAATGCTATAAATCCCATATATTAACTAGCCCTTATTGAAGTAGTGTTGAGTCTAATGTTGAACTCTGACCCCCAGATTCTGTGTGAGTCTAATGTTGAACTCTGACCCCCAGATTCTGTGTGAGTCTAATGTTGAACTCTGACCCCCAGATTCAGTGTGAGTCCAATGTTGAACTCTGACCCCCAGATTCTGTGTGAGTCTAATGTTGAACTCTGACCCCCAGATTCAGTGTGAGTCTAATGTCGAACTCTGACCCCCAGATTCTGTGTGAGTCTAATGTTGAACTCTGACCCCCAGATTCTGTGTGAGTCTAATGTTGAACTCTGACCCCCAGATTCTGTGTGAGTCTAATGTTGAACTCTGACCCCCAGATTCTGTGTGAGTCTAATGTTGAACTCTGACCCCCAGATTCTGTGTGAGTCTAATGTTGAACTCTGACCCCCAGATTCTGTGTGAGTCTAATGTTGAACTCTGACCCCCAGATTCTGGAAGTGATTGATGGCCCCAACAGCCAGTACCTGGAGCAGCCAGACCTGTGTACCAATGAGATGTACCAGCTGATGAAGGAGTGCTGGGAACACGACCCAGATGCCAGGCCAACTTTTGCTTCCATTTTACTCAGGTTACCACAGGTGGGTGCTGTTGTTAGTTACCTTTAGTGCCACAGGTAGGCACTGCTGTTGGTTACCTTTAGTGCCACAGGTGGGTACTGCTGTTAGTTACCTTTTAGTGCCACAGGTGGGTACTGTTAGTTACCTTTAGTGCCACAGGTAGGCACTGCTGTTGGTTACCTTTAGTGCCACAGGTGGGTACTGCTGTTAGTTACCTTTAGTGCCACAGGTGGGTACTGCTGTTGGTTACCTTTAGTGCCACAGGTGGGTACTGTTAGTTACCTTTAGTGCCACAGGTAGGCACTGCTGTTGGTTACCTTTTAGTGCCACAGGTGGGTACTGTTAGTTACCTTTAGTACCACAGGTGGGTACTGCTGTTGGTTACCTTTAGTGCCACAGGTGGGTACTGTTAGTTACCTTTAGTACCACAGGTGGGTACTGCTGTTGGTTACCTTTAGTGCCACAGGTGGGTACTGCTGTTGGTTACCTTTAGTGCCACAGGTAGTACTGTTAGTTACCTTTAGTGCCACAGGTAGGGACTGTTGGTTACCTTTAGTACCACAGGTAGGGACTGTTGGTTACCTTTAGTGCCACAGGTAGGTACTGTTAGTTACCTTTAGTGCCACAGGTGGGTACTGTTAGTTACCTTTAGTACCACAGGTGGGTACTGCTGTTGGTTACCTTTAGTGCCACAGGTGGGTACTGCTGTTGGTTACCTTTAGTGCCACAGGTGGGTACTGCTGTTGGTTACCTTTAGTGCCACAGGTGGGTACTGATGTTAGTTACCTTTTAGTGCCACAGGTGGGTATGTTAGTTAACTTTTAGTACCACTGGTAGGCACTGTTGGTTACCTTTAGTGCCACAGGTGGGTACTGTTAGTTAACTTTTTATTTATCCTTAATAATGTATCCCATTACTTTAGTAATTGATTGTAGTGGTTTATAAAGTATTCTGTTTCTTATTTCAATGCTGGCTGGATATTTTTACTTTGGAATACTAAACTTTCTGGAAATTATTTGCTGATATTCTTGGTGGGATTTACTGACTTTCTTTTTGTGGACAGTTCAAGGGGCTGTTTTGTTATCACCATTGTTGTGTGGATTATTATAATTATGGTTGTTGAGTTGTTAGCTAGTCTTTGGATTATACTGTGGTTGCACTAACAATGAAATGTTTTGTCCCTGTCCACAGCTACGCCCCACCCAGGTGAAAGCTCTGAAGGACGAGACTTCTGGCACAGAGAAAGGCTACTTGACCTACAAAGCTGGTGACATCATTGTTGTTATTGACAAGAGGTCAGCAGCTTTTTGTTTTCTTTGTGTCAAATTTCTCTTTGATGAACCATACTATTGTAATTGTCTTAAGTTAATAACTGTTTTTTAAGTGAATTATTGTTTAAATTATTTTGATCATCTACTTAACATGTGAAGGATTAACTATCTTATATATTTCCCACCAATATTTTTAATTTAAATTTTGTATAATTTTAGATGAACATTTCTGTGAATAACTTTTTTATTTTAAACTTTTTTATTATTTTAGAACATTTCAGTGACCAAATTATTTTCTCTTGTTCTAGTCCCCCCAACACCTCCCCCCCTGGTCTGGTGTGGAGGGGTGTACTGTCCAGTGGCAAGGTGGGATTCTTTGACCCAACAAATGCTGCACCCTTCATTGAACCTAAGATTAGCCCTGTCGCAGCTAAATCTCTCTCACTGGCTAGGAAAGGTAAGCAGGGAACATAGCACTTTCATCATCATCATCGCTGCACCTTCTCAATTTAACTCCTGGTGTAAGCCCATCACTGTTGTGTCCCATCACAGCATCCCACTGTTATAAGCAGAATTGTATCTTTAATGCTGGAGAAGGCAACAGGATAGAAATAACAAGAAAAAAAAATATTTTTAAGAAAATGTTTTTATAGAGAACACAACAAATGGCTGATGTTGTCAGATATTTGAGCATCTGGCTGATTGGCTAGAGTTCAAATCTTGGTGATTGTTCATGTACAATTAGTCCTCACACATTTAAAGATGGATTGTTGAAAGTAAAGGCCATCAATTGTTGTACAGGACACAGTTAAGCAACAAATTAATCTGCATTTTTGACAGGAGCTTTATCGTCATGTAAAAAACATAGTAGTTGGTTGGGAAATGAACTTGAAATTTGTGCTTATAGCTGTCATACAATTGTTAGGAATTGTGTATAATTTATTTATTCTTTTTTTATATTCATTAAGCTTTTTTGTAGAATTATACTATGCACTATTTCAACTTAATACAACTGTTTTGACATTGTGTAGCACTCAACAGAAAGTGTTTAGTATATTAACATGATACAACTGTTTTGACATTGTGTAGAATCCAGCAGAAAGTCAGGGAGAAAGATCCGAGCTGATATGATTAGTCGACCACAGAATGACCTGAGACACACTGGCCACATTGGATACGATGGCGCTGTCTTTGGTGATGTTTCTTTCATTGGTGATGCTTACGCCAAGCTGCCCATCAGAGTGGACACAGGTATTGGTCAATTTGTGTAGTTCTAACCTATTGATGTCTGATGTAGTATTTTGCATGAACACAATCGCATGTTTGAGTGTTGAAACATAGGGTTACTGTTTTTCTTGTAAGTTTTGAGTTTGGTCTGGGTTTGAGACCCTAGAACAGGCCTGACTCAATTCTGAGCCAAGTACCTGATTAGAGTCGGGTAAAGTAGATGTGGCTGGGCATTCTTCTATTATACAGTCCACTCATAGGCCTACATCAGATAAACAGATGAACTCTACTTCATCTGTGTATACACTATTATATCTGTACGAGAAAAATGGCCCATTGAGGAAGGATACAACGGGCGCTAGGTTGATAGTGCTGTCTATTTTCTCGGTACTTTAATTTATACAAAAATATAGTCAAAGGCATATCCCTAAACCATGCACCTAATCTCATTCATAACAAAAGTCGCATTTAGAGTTTCTTTCAGGCAACTCTACTTGGAAGGAGGGGCTTTTGTCCCCCCCCCCCCCCCCCCGTCCCCCCCACACACACACACGCACTCCAAAACATGTCTACCGTCCCATTCAACGAAATATAATTATATACTTTTTCCAGTGTCCGCCCCCTCCCAGAAAATTCTACCCCCGCCCCGAAAATTTCAAGTACCCCCACCCCTCTCCGGGGAGGAAAAAGTCTGAAAGAAACACTGGTCGCATTTGTAGATCATACAAACTAAAGGAAGAATCTGGGCGGGGCTTCGCCCCTACCGGAAGAGATGCTTGAAAAAAAAAACTGCACGCTAAACACTTTTTAGATTAGAAAAAGTTCCCCCCTCCGGGGAGGAAAAAGTCTGAAAGAAACACTGGTGTTGCGCTTAGCCACTACTCGAAGAATTGCATTAAAGAAATTGCAAGAAAACCACTTTTTAGATTACACACATTAATTAGGCGGTAATTTTATTATAGAGTATCGATGAAGACATTTCTTTTGAGTTGAGATGGGGGGGGTGCTCAGACGTTCTTACGCGGGGGTGGGGCTTCGCCCCTACCCGAAGAATCGTATGAAAGAAACTCTTCACGCAAACCACTTAGATTAGACAAAATTGCCTTTTTATTCAATGTTTACTCGAGAATCAATGACGTCATATTACTGTGTGCACTCTCCGGCTTGAGATTATTTTTTACTATATGCTAAATGTGACGTCATATTTCGTTTTCGTTTCACTGTGAAAGTTTTTAAATTGCTTGTGTTTTCTCTAGAGCGTTCTTGTCAGATACATAGATACACAGATACATAGATACACAGACAGCGAAACTATTATATAGAGTATATTATATTGATTTGTATGTTATACCATGCCTGTCACTTACATGTGTGTTTACTAAATGATTGCCTTGGTTCAGCAGTAACTGCAAGCAGGGGCTCATCAATGTCATCCATCCCACACAACCAGGACAGTCCAGACCATAATGGGCTCATTAGATCCACAAACTCTGAGGAGTTTTTGGATAAAGAGAGGAATGGATATGGTCAGTCTTGGTAAGTCAGTGGTTATGGTCTGTTTGGGTATGTCAGTGGTTGTTGTCAGTGATGGTATGTCTGGTCGTGGTCAATTTTGGTATGTCAGTGTTGTGTTCGTTTGGTTCTCATAAGCACAACAGAAAACTTGTTGACATACTTTTATGGTGTGGGATAGATTTATCTAAGATGTTCATATAGAAAGGCAGTAACACAACTTGTCCAGCTGTAACTAGAGCCATTGTCTGTCCCCACAGGATGAGCCGTGAGTCCCTCAACAGTCAGTCCACAATGCAGTCCCTGGATGGGAGAGAGAGCCCCTCCTACCTGGACGTGGAAGATGATTCCTTGTTTTCTGACTTCAAGATGCCAGATTTGGGAGTGAGTAGATTAGCTCTCTGGGATTTAATTAATGATCTTTTCAATAATTTTTTTTTTAATTTTTTCCAATTTGAAGGGGTTTTTTTTATGTCTTATTATTTTTCTAATTTTGTTTTGGGTGCTTATTTGATTTCTAATTTTGTAAAATTTTTTATTTTTCTTGAAAATTTCATTTGTGATTTTTTTTCAAGGTTTTTTTTTTTTGTGAAAACTTATCAATTTTTTATATTTTTGTATCTGAAGACTTCGTTTGATTTCGGCCCATCTTTCATGGATGAAGTTCTCAAAGCCCTGGACGAGAAAGAAAAGCTGGTGACCTCCAGCAATGAGACAACACCAACAGCCAACCAGAGCAGCAAGACATTTGAGACAGATCTGAGACACAACGCCACCCTGAGCGCGCCAGCAGCGCCCGTACACCAGGAGAGCAGGAAGTCCTCTTCCTCCTCGTCATCCTCCTCAATACCTCCACTACCCTCCCATCCTCCCCGGGTGGTAAATACACATACATTATCTCTCTAGTGCTCTCCCTTTTGTAACATAAGTTAGCTACTCTCGCTCTGCTTTGGGAAAAAATATTAAGTAAATTTAAAAAAAAATTAAACTATATCATTAGTTAACATGTAAATTAGAGCTATGTATCAGTATAATATTGCTTGTAAAAAGAAAACTATATTTAGATTTGACTGTTAGCATTGGGATAATGTACTCAACTCTATAACAAGATATTCCACTGTGTGTTGTAACCCCCATACCTTCTATTTAATCAGTTTTTATCCTCTGTGCATGATTGTTGAAGAACTTTATCAACTTTACAGGAGCCACCTAAAGAGAGAAAGCAAGCCAAAGTAAAGCCTATGTCGGCCTCGGAAGAAAAAGTGCTGGAGTTTTCTTTAGCTCGAGCCAGGGAACTGACCTCAGGTCGACTGAATGACTCCCAATCTCCCCCCACCAGTCCGGCTGACGCAGATAAAAATTTCTTCGCGGAGGAGTCACATGGTATCATGTCACGTCTGAAGAACTCTATCAAGCGCAGCCCCAAAGTTGAGCATAAACGAACATTTTCTGATGATTTGGAGAACAAAGGGAGTATTGATGATGACGTGAGCCCTGAGGCCCAACAAGCTTATAACATGCTGGTGGAGAAAGGTTCATTCAAAGAATCCAATTCTTTGAGCAAGCAGACCTATTCAGAGTCTGAGGACTTTAAAAGAGAAGTGTCACAATCTAGAAGCTCTGGCGCTTCATCCAAATCTTCACAAGATCTGGAAGCAAACGCTTGGTTTGAGCCAGATCTTATCAAAGATTCAAAACCCAGTTCTAGCTCCTCTAGGACTTACGTCAATGATAAGCCATCCTCCCCCTCACCTGGGGCGGCAGTCTCAAGTCCACCCCCCATCCCCGCCACTCGGCCGACCTCTGGCAGCCTGTCTAAACCAGCCCAGAGTGTGGCACCAGTGCCGGCGCCCAGGCCAGTCAAGGTGGACACCAGTAAAAAGTCTGAGATCCCCGTCCCCAAGCCACGGCCAGAGATCCAGAGGGTGGAGCCAACTGTGCGACAGAACGCTCCAGCCTCACCTGACATCCCGCCCAAGGGGGAGAGGCGGATAGAGAGCCACATCCCAGTGCCAGCCTCGCGGGACTCCAAGGAGAGAGAGAGGGAAGAGCTGAAGCGCACTATAGAGATTGTCAGAGTGGATGATGCTAGCAGTCTAAGAGATGAAGCTTCGGACAAAGCGTCCACGTCTTTTGACCGCTCTTCCGCTCGCTCGTCTCAGAGGTCATCGCTAGACCGGTCAGATAACAACTCGGAGACGTCTGACCACAGGCCTGACTGGGAGCAGAGTGAGTGCTCTTCTAATGGTAGCAAGCTGAGCCGAGACTCGGAGCCCAGAGCCCAGGTATCATCTGCTGCTTCCATTGAGCGCAAAGACTCTTTCAACAAAAAACAGACGTCGTCGCTGTTTGAGGAGGACCTGAGCGAGCCTTCCCCGCAGGAAATTATGAACAAGCTGCGTGAACGCAGGCTCAACAGGCACATGGATCATCAGAAAAACTTGTCGGGAGAAGGGGATTCCGCAGCTGTGGTCACCACGTCTAGAATCAGATCATCTGCACGTGAACCTCAAGGAATTCCAGGTCGCACATCCACTGTGGATGTGGATGAAAATGCTGGTGGTGATGCTGGATCTGAAGAAGTGGATACTAATCCTCTCCGTATGTTAAGGGGCGGAGCCATCCCCATCCGGACAGCTGGACGAGGCACAGCAGGTAACCTAGTGCGAGGGACATCGATCCTTCGCGTGCCCCACCTTCATTTCTCTACTGATATTTCTAGGAGTCTAGCGGATGCTAAGCAAAGCCTTGAGACAAAGAGCTGTGCGCAGCCTGCTGTGTGTGAGAAGGACAAGGACGGTGCTGCTGCTGCTCAGCTGAGTCTGGAACTGGACAAACTGACCGGTTCTTTAATGGAGAATCAGAAATCTGAGGGAGAGGTTTCCGCCAAGTGCCAGGATGCACCTGGAGGTGTTGTAGTGACCAGTGACCTCCCTGCGGAGGTGTATGTCACTTGTTCACAGCCAAACCCTACACCCCCCACTCCCCCCCTAAACAGAGACTCCCCTCCTAAACTACCCCCTAGGATTAGCCACTCGTTGAGTGAGGACCCAGAGAAACAAACCCCACCCTCACACCTCAACCTAAGGCGGAGCTGTAGTTTTAACAGTGACAGTGGTGAGGCGCCAGCCTTGCCCCCTAGAAATCCCCAACCTGGCAGAACTCCCCTTAATTCACGGCCCCGGGAGAGAAAATACCCGCTAGTTATTTCCCCTTCACAATCTACTGATGCTAAGCAACATTCCAGAGCTGAGCAGGGGTTGAACAAAGCCAAGTCCCCCCACCCAGCCAAACATAGCTCACCCACTCACTCAGGTTTTGTTCACCAGCATTCCACGCCCCACAGGCAAGATTCTAACCCTCAACCATACCCCTCCCACCATTTTACCCCCAAGCATGAGCATTTCCCCGTCTCCCTCCCCCCAGCCTACGACATCTCCGCATCAGAGACACAGGTGGCCAGCTGTGAGCCTACCCACATGCTGCTGGACCCCCACTCCCCCCACCTGCCCTTACACGTTGACCTGCCCTCCGCAGCTGACCTGACCATCATGGATGAACCCACGCACGTCTCCCTCTCATCCTTGGCCAACAACAAGCACTCATGGTCAGCCACGTTCACCAGCCCCTCCCCTCTCTCACCCTCATTCCCTCACAGAAACAAATCTCACCACTCCTCCTCAGAGCGAGGACATCACCCTAAAGTTTTCCATAGAAGTATTAGTCACACTTATGGTCAGCACCTTCCTGCCTACTTGCCCCGTCCTTATTTTGATGACCAAAGTCCGCCAGCTGATCTCCCCCCTGCTCCCCCCACCCCATCATACAGAGAGAAGCTTGGCCTTGACCTCCAGAAACCTAAGGTCACTCGCAGTATTTCCCACAACTCAGCGTCCATCCATCCTTACAACTCACATGCATCATTCCCTGACCCTCCCAGAGGCCGGTCAGCCAGTGACACGTCACCGTCCAGTCACTCTCCCTCCCCTCACAGAGTCTTTCGTTACATCACACACAGTTGTGATGATGACGACGCCTTCTTTGATGAAGCGCCATCTTTCCCCCACCCCTATTCACAGACCCCCTTCCACCCTATCAGCAGCGGTTCTAGTCAGCAGATCTCTCCCTACCATACATCAGACGTTAAACAAAACACAGCTCCGCCGCCACCGTCCCCCCGCACACAACACAGCCACAGTTCAAACCATGTAGCATCCCATAATTCCCAGAAACCAGCACCAGTAAAAGAGCCTCTGCCCCTCCCCCCTAGAAACCATCAGAGACCAGCCAAATCTGGCACCAGCAGCCAGCCCCTGTTCTTTAAGTTTCCCTGTATAACAGCCTCCACAAGCAGCAGTGAAGCAGCCCTGTCACCCCCAGTACAGCCTGTAGCAGCAGCAGCACACACGCAGCCGCACGCCTCCACCACCGGCAGCAGCTCGGATGTTTCCCCCCTCATGTTCACCACCAACACAAATGCCTCCAGTGTCAGCTATGAAGATTTGCGACAATTTGCCATGGATAGGTAATAGACCAGCCTACAACCTGCTCTCCCTACTCATGCTCAGCAGTAGACTAGACCGTTCTATTTATAGCTATTCTTGTCTTTTTTTTCTCAATTACTATTTATAACACACACACTCACACCTATGTGTATGCATTCATCTTTTGTGCTCGGCACAATAACGAAAGGATGTTCAATTATTCTTGCCCCAAACAATTCATCACTTTATTTTTATCCATTTTTTTTTTCTAATATTTAACTTTACCAACCTTCAAGAGTAAAATTACTGACCTGGCTAAGAAAAAATAAAACTTCAAAAGATGTGAAACAAAATATTAGTAGTACTTATAAAAGAAAGTGACTGATTTGAAAGTTTCTTCTTGGCCAGGTTGCTCTATAATGATCTGGGGTGTGCTTTGCTTTCATGATTGTTGTTTCATTTCTCAGATTAATGTGATGGCTTAGTTGCTTACACTCACTACAAATTTTGTTTCATTTAGTTTTTTGTTGTTTTTTTTTTTTTATTGCTTAAACAAGTTAGGATTTTACTGGAATGTTTGTAATCATATGATGTATCCTCACAATAAAGTGTTGTGCACTTGAAGCAAGCTTATTGCCCACAAATCACTGAATGCCTCCTTGTTTAAATATCCAGTAGAATCCTACCTTCACATATTTGCATGCTAGATTTTTTGTTTCCTCCATGTAATCAAGTGTGAGTTGCATGTTAAGGTTAACATCTGATTCAGGTACATCAAAGCAGATTCTCTTTGTTTTTTTTTTTTAGCATGAGTTTCTAGTTGTTGTTTTGAGCTATGTTTTTCTAGCTGTGTTACAAAAAAAATGTGTTGAGTTAAAGCTGTTCTGGTTGTGCTTTAAACTGCTCCTAGACTGACACCAAAATAATGTTCAAATTTAGAGAATTCACACACATTTTCTGGTTGATTATAAACTAAACATCCTTTAAAGATAAGCTAATTTAACTAATTTTATAAAGCTTTTTTTTTTGTTATTTGGTTACTTCTAAAAAATTTATGCGACTCAAGTTAAGTGCGATATGTTGTAGCCTGCCCACCCTTATTTGTTTAAAAAGTTTGTTGCCATTCACTATATGGTCACCCCCCCCCCCCATTTGTTTATGTGGCTTAATGTTAGTTGCCATATGTCATAGCCTCTCCCAGTAATGTATACATGACAATGGTTACATGAATGTTGTCTAGTGTCACCTAGTTGCCCCAGGATTTTGAAGAATATTTTACACATGATTGCATTTACCAGCAGCAACATTGTCACATGAATGGTATCACCAAGTCAGTGTTCACTTTTAGTGATGTGTTTACACATTTTGTCACCTTTTGTCTGCCATAGTTGTTTGTGCCATTCTGTGGATTTTTTTTTTACACCTGTGACTTTCACCTGTGTTGGGCTTTAAACTAGAACTCATGCTATAAGTTGATCACAATTATTCTGAACTTTTTTTGAAAATATTGGACTTTTTTTTCATATTGTTTATTTTTTTCATACCTATAAATATAAACATTAAATACTGAACATTATTTACATTTATAAAATATTATCCTGTTAATGTACTGTATTTACTATGAGTAATAACTGTACAAGTAGTCTCCCTTCATTCTGTAGTCCATATAGCACTGTGCATACTTAGATAGGACTTGCTTAACCCTACCTTTTTTCCCTCCCTTGTGAGTCTAGATTTTATTTAGCCAAATGCATACATTAAGACTGTGCTTCTGAGTGTGAAATTATTTCTTTTTTAATTTCCAAATCATTTCAATGTTCATTTAAATTCATTAACTCGATCATGCCTGGTTTTCTCCCTTCTTACTTACCCCCCTTAACTCCTTTTTCTCTCTGTGCTTGTTAAGGAAAGTTGAGATAAAGGGAGAGCAGGCAGGTAAGTTGTTATTTTTGTATCTGACACTGGAAGGCTAAGGTTGTGATTTGACAAAGGGAGGCAAGTGATTAAACTTGTTAGAATCTGCTTTGAGCTACTTTGAATTGTGTATGTTAATGAAACAAATGTATGTAGGATCAGGTAACTGACACCATATACTCTTAGTATGTTTTACTAATGCGATATTTTATTTATTGATTTACTGTTGCATTAATTTAGCTTGACTTATTTTTTTGTCTTTAAATCTTTATTAGGGCCTTCACCAGAGCTGATTTTTTAAATATTTATTTTAAAAAAAACAATTCCTGTAAAAATTTGAATAATAAAAAAAACAAGGTTTATTTTCTATTTGGTCAGTTGATGTAAAAATGTATCTGGAACGCTCTGGGGATGAATTTCTTTAAAGCCTGACGAAAGTTTAATTACAAGCTATACTATAACTAATACCAGTGGTTTTTATTTTAATAGTGGATCAAATTTTATTTTCCAGGCAGAAGAATTGCCAAGAGGTAGAACAGTTGCTCCGAACATTTGATAATCAGGTAGGCCATTGGTTCTACCCACTTTCTCCTTTCCGCACATAGTAGGGTGTATATTTATATGATTAAATAATGTCAGGTCTATCCCTAACAAGACGGAGTGGTCTAGCTGTAGAGAGCTGAACTGCTAACCCATAAGTCTTGAGTTCGAATCCGGGTTCAAGTCAGTAAACCGTCCCTGAGTTCACCCAACTCAGATGGGGACCTAACTCACATTAGGGAAAGTAAAGGTGGCTGGGCATAGTGCTGACCACACTATCTCTTCATATGCCGAGGTCACAGAAACAAGTGAACTCTACTTCACTTGCTCTATAGACTGTCAGGTTTGAAAAAGGAACTTTTTTTACTTTTTTTTTTTTATCGCTAACAAGAGAATAATTCTGTAGGCCTACATGTTTTGATTTGTAAGTTTGGATGTATATTAATAGTGGTAAGAATTATTGTGGTAAAATGTCATAGAAAGAACATTGTTAAAATATGCCATGCTTTTACAAAAGAACATTGTTAAAATATGCCATGCTTGTACAAAAGAACATTGTTAAAATATGTCATGCTTGTACAAAAGATCATTGTTAAAATATGTCATGCTTGTACAAAAGATCATTGTTAAAATATGTCATGCTTGTACAAAAGATCATTGTTAAAATATGTCATGCTTGTACAAAAGATTATTGTTAAAATATGTCATGCTTGTACAAAAGAACCTTTGATAAAATGTCCAGCTGCCACTAACAGCCACCTGTCCCTACTACGTGCAGGTATCTGTGGAGGAATGCACTACAGCACTGGAGGGCACTGGCTGGGATGTCAACAAGGCCACCAAGTACCTCCAGCTCAAGCATCTCTTATCCCTGGGCCTGGCTGACGTCCGCACCTGTAAGCTGGCCTTGACCTCATGCAACTGGGACCTCCAGCGGGCGGCCGACAGACTTCTTGACATCTCCAAGGGACCCTCCTCTGTGCAGCCTTTACTCATGCCAGTGCCATCACTACAAGCAGCCCAGAAATAGTTGTGTAAATAGAACGGTTGCCCAGAGCTCATTAGTGTGTAAATAGACAGTTGCCCAGAAGACAGTAGTCTGTAAATAGCCAGTTACCCTCCAAACACCCTGGTTGTTTCTTGTGTTGTCATTAATGTTGTGGGCATTTTATTTTGTTCATCCTACACATTTTTTTAAACTACCAAACAGTCATAATGGTTATTGCTCAAATTTTTATTTTTTACTTCTTTTTGGACAATACTTTTTCTCAACATGTGGAGTACAAAAAAAAAACATTAACAATCAACTAATCCAAGCAGCATTAAAGTTACATATCTTTTTGCCTGATTCAAGATGAACTGGTAGAAGGCCCAGCAACAATGAATGTGCTGATTTTTGTTTTTAAAGTATGCTCTTTGTTTAAAGGTGTAGTCTGTTCATCTAGGTAAGTTGAGGTTGGCGGATGATGTACAAAGGTTTTTTTTTAACCGTGACACCACTTGGATGTGATGGACACTAGCTGGGGTTGTGCCCCCTGATCTGATATTTATTCTCCATTCAGGTTCTTCCTCTGCTGTAGCATGCGTTGAAAGCAAATTTTATTGAGGCCAACTTTTTAAGATTTCTACTTTTTAAAACATTATTTATTGAGAAATATTTAAAAGGAGTTTAAATTTTTTTTTTTTTATGTGCGAGGCTGTGATGTTGATCTAACATATCCATGTACAGTCTCTCCTTCTGGAAGATTTCAATAGTGCAGTCATTGTTCTAGGCAGTTTGTAATGAAATCAACATTTTTCTTTGGAAATAAGTCTTGTTAAAGCAAGATCATTTGTTGGGTAAAATGGAATTGATAATTCATTGCATTTTTTTCTTTTCTTAAAATTATTGATTTTTTTCCTAATCAGCATTTACATGAAACATAATTCATATTACTACACCACATTGCACATAAATTGTTTTATTTTTAGAAATGACCACTTTGAATTGGATACGTTTGTTGTCATGTACTAGGTATATAAAACAATTGGATCATTCTGTTCCACGACTTGACCAGCAATGTCAACATGCCAGATTGTACTGTCATGGTGCTGGTTATTACCTTTGTTCCTTTCATGTGTTCTTTGCAAAGTCCAAATTTAAGTTTAAATTTTGGCTTTTTTTTTTTCTTTTTTTGTCTTGGCCGTGATATTGTGGTCTTGCATGTTGTAAAATTAATTTTATTTTAATTAGGTCATTACGATTCGTTCATTTTTATGTGTAAATTAGTTCTTGTTTTATGACCACCTAATTTGCCTTGTACAAGAAAATAAAGTTTTGTTCAGTATAGTTGTTTCATAACCATTGCTAACTTATATATGATACAGAGTAACTCATTTCATTGGGATAATTCGTTTTCTTTTGAAAAAAAAAACTGGTTGAAAACTTTTTTTAAAAATATTGTGTATCATCACATTTTGTATTAAACAACTGCTGTAATAAAACACAGTATTTACCAAATTTCAATTTTTACCTGTTTTCAAATCTTTTTTTTTTGTTGGAAACTATTGGAACTGTTAGTAATAAATCAAAACATAAATTTCAACAAACACAAGAAAAAGGAAAATAACTAAAAATTTATTTCAATTATGTAGGATTGCTTTCTTATTGCACAGGAAAAAATTATGTGATAATAATGATTGCTGACTCCATAGGAGGCAAATTACAAAACAAATCAAGTAATTGGCTGATACAGTCATTCAATAATAAAGAACAGCAGTTAATTTAATAAACATCTGGTCTGAAACAGTTTCACAGCCAATAGGAGGTCAAAGTTGATGAAAGAAATTAGGCTTTGGTGTGCTCAAGAAATTACTTTCACACAATGTGAAGGGACAAATTATGTAAATTGGAAAATTTTTATCTACAATAAGGCCTCTCCACTAGACATAATGTTTTAATGGTAAGACTTATTTTTAAAAGGAAGTGCTGAAAATAAAAATTACAGAAAATCCATTTTGAAATGCAACATTTTACTAGTCCCTGGGTGGTCTCCCATGTTATCATGATAGTGGTGGGGACATCCCATAGTCCTCTGGGTGGTCTCCCATGTTATCATGATAGTGGTGGGGACATCCCATAGTCCCTGGGTGGTCTCCCATGTTATCATGATAGTGGTGGGGACATCCCATAGTCCTCTGGGGTGGTCTCCCATATCATGATAGTGGTGGGGACATCCCATAGTCCTCTGGGTGGTCTCCCATGTTATCATGATAGTGGTGGGGACATCCCATAGTCCTCTGGGGTGGTCTCCCATATCATGATAGTGGTGGGGACATCCCATAGTCCTCTGGGGTGGTCTCCCATATCATGATAGTGGTGGGGACATCCCATAGTCCTCTGGGTGGTCTCCCATGTTGTTGCTGCTACTGTGTCTCCGCCCCCATCTCTCACATTTTGGACAAGGCAAGTTTTCTGTCATGCAGGTCTTATGGTACACAGCTTTACAAACCTTGCACTAAAAAAAGTAACAACAACAACAACATGAACCTGTATTTCAAGTTTTCCAGATACATTTACAAAAATAATACAATGCAGTCTTTTAAAAAAAATACATTTTTAAAATTTAAATAAACAGTTACTTCTTAAAATAAAAGACTTATTTTAATAAAATAAAAAATATTAAGTGTACTTGCTCTTAGAGAAAAACTGCTTTATAAAGTAAGATTATTTTTAAAAACTGCTTATCCATGTTAATTGGTTTTTGGTGGGGGGAGCGGTGGAGCAGATTTGTATTACAACAAACAATTATGTAAATGAGCTGGACCATATTGGACTGCATAAATATTTTTGAGTGAGTCAGAAAGACATGAAAAATGTAGAAAAACAAATACGTCAACTCACCCTGATTGTTGAGTCAGTCTCAAATGGATAAATGACTTTGGGGTTGCGACAAATCTCACAGACAAAACCCTTCTGGCTACAGAGCAGACAGTCATACACATGCAGGGTGGCAAACTTGATTAACTCCTTCAGTAGCTTGTGTAGGGAGCTGGTTGGTACTTGGAGAAAATCCTGCAGATCAGCAAAAAATATCATGTCTGATTTTGTTTTCTGTATTCGGTTTGTTATTTAAAAAATAAAATGTAGACATTCCTGAAATAAAAAATACGAGCCGACCCGCGGCTTATCATACGCCGCTATATAGTTGTTTTATTTTCTACTTTTCAGTAATTCATAATTTGTGAATTCGACAGTACCAATGCTGCCACTGAAAATATTTGCTTTAAAAAACTACCCCCCCCCCCCCCCTTTCACCTAACCCCGACCTACACCCCCCCCCCCCCATGAAATCAGCCTCCTCTTAGTTACCTCCTGTAAGTTTAAAATCGTTTCAAACTAAATTATCTGCCCCTTATAGCCGTCACTAAACCCGGCTCTACTATTTGTAAACATTTAGAGTGACCATAGCTCACCAGACCATGTGGGGGTGGTAGTGATAGTGATAGAGAGAAAGAGAGGGGACTGCAAGGCAAGCTTACAGCTTGTTTTCTAACGACTCCCAGGAGAGAATTATATATATAGATGACACGTACTGTAAGTGAGTAGACGTCCCGATGGTCATACAAGTGTTCTCTAGGCCAAACTTTCTGTCGCAAGGTTTCCGCAACTTTCTGTGAGCAGGTGAACAGGTAAGATCTCAGGTAGCAAAGCTGGACCCTCAGTAGCTGTAATAACATCAACAGGTTGTAACTTAAGCAACTAACCCAACAAACAGGTTGCAACCCAACAAACAGGTTGTAACCCTACAAACTTTTTTTTACATGTTTGCTAAGGTTACAACCTCACAAACAGGTTGTAAAAAAAAAGTTGAATCTCCATTTATACTAAGTATTGGTTGTTGCAGAAATTCATAAATAAAAATTGATAATCTAATCAAAACATTTGGATATTATGTGTGTTACGTTGTGTGTCATGTTCTATGAGTAGACCTTACTTTGAGCTCCATTAGCTCTGGAACATGGTTGTAGAGCTTAGGATTAAGCTGCTCTACATCGTAGACTGCCTGGTCCTCTAGCTCTTGAAGAAACTTGAAGTTTTCATTGCTAACTGTAGGAGAGAAAGCAAACAATCAAGAGGATTTTTACAGCGCATTAAAAAATGATTATCTAGGGAGCATGGCTGACTGGGTTTGTTACCTTTTTTCTTCCTAAAGTCCCAGTTAAAAATAATGGAGGAAGGGAGGTAAGTCTCGTTGTTGTCATGACACTCAGTGCAGTACAGTCCACCATCAAATTCACACATACGGGGCTGGCCATAAACTAAAGAACATTTTAATAATAATAATTTTATAAATGATCCTCTTTAATTCAGAACCAAAGCATTTTATTGTTCACCCTAATAGATGATATAATTCACAATAGTTAAATCACTGGATAAAAATAACTAAAGAACATTGGAATAATTTTATAAATGATCCTCTTTAATCCAGAACCAAAGCATTTCATTTTTCACCCTAATAGATGATATAATTCACAATAGTTAAATCACTGGATAAAAATAACTAAAGAATTTTTTTTTTAAATTTGTAACAAAAACGGAACTAGTATAAGAGAATACTTAACGAAAGGGTCATTTGATAAAAGACTGCTTTAATAAAGCTCTCACTTACTGATTCCAATAGGACAGGCACAGCCACGGCAGGTAAAATTCTGATGGCTGAGTCCCAGCTCCCTTGGAATGCGAAACAGGAAAATCATCCGAGAACACTAGACAAGAATCAACAGTTATTTTTAGAGTAAAGCACAACAGCAGGTAACTGATGTCAATTCATCAATTAACATTTGTTTCATTAATTAAAAGTAGTCTATAAAAAGATGTTTACATCAAATAATGCAAAACAAAAATATGCTTAAACTAATTAATTTCAAAATACATAAAAATACTTTGCAATCAAACGTTGCAATCATACAGAATTATTTTCACAAATCAAACATCTTTAGTTAAGAACTGAAAGAGCTGCAGTAAAATTAACTAATAATTCTAACTTAATTTTTTTCTGTTTGCTTTTCTAGTTTTTATCAAAGTGTTGGTAGGTTTTTAAATGTGTACTTACATTAATTCACAATTGATTTAAAACAAACAAAATAATAAATGTTCTAGAACTCAAGAGATAAGCACAAATCTTTAGTTATTACAATACTTGTATACTTGACACAGAATATGTACAACCAAGAAATTTGTTAAGCACTATAGGCTATAAGTAAAAGATATGTTTTTACCATTGCCGGAAAATAGAGGGGGACAGAGTACAACTATGGCCTCAATACACAAAATGTTAGAAGTTACAATATCAAGCTATAGGAAAATACAATTAATACATTATATTTGAGGGGCTAGAAACATTGAACATTTGTATTTACATTTGTACATTAGAAAACTACACAGGTTCATTCATTATGTCTTTAAGTGGCACTTTTTTTAATGAAATAGTCATCTGTTACACCAAATCAAAGAAATAATTAATCATATCATTAGTTTTTCTATTACCAATTTAAATGCTTCAATTTAATAAATTGATTATCATTTTAAATAAAATGTGCAAATTAAATTTTTGATGTTCTCTTAGAACATTGGTTAGTCAATTACTTGCACACATGGGAATAGTGTTTACATGCAGACATCAATAGGGGTGTTATTAAAAGAAAATGGGGGAAAAACAAATTTCTTCAAGCCCATTAGCAACCAAATATCAAAAGCAAAGACCTGGTACATCTACCACAAGCCCACAGGCAGAAGACAAACTTTAAACAAAAAGAAATGCAACCAAACGTCAACTTGGCAACTCACATTAGCCTCTACCTGGCCATGGAAGCATTCAGTTGTTGGCTGCAGGACTTCAAAGTCTGCCAGACATGAGTCTTGGCGCTGTGTGACATTCAAGGCAAACAGTTGTACACGCTACACATTTTCATACAGCACGTGTCATTCTCAGTTAGCCTCATGTGTAATCCTTTTTATGTCAGAATTTGCTTGGGGATATTTAAATAATAACATTGCTCCCCCCCCCCCTCCTCCCCAACTATTACTGCTCCTCAACTACTGTAATGTGAATGAATGGTGTTTTGTTATAGCTCTCATATCTTTATCACATGGTAGACTTTCTCTAGTTTAAAGCATGGAGTGGGGAGGGGGTGGTGTCTTACCTGGTTTGAATGTAAGTGTAGCAGTTAGTTTCAAAGTATGAAATATCCTTACTACTTTAGAAATATTACTTTAAAAATCTTTCAGCAATGAAAAAAAGTGTTAAACAGTTTAATGAGATAAAACAGTTAAACCACTTAATCCCTGGTTCAGTGTGTGTGTGGGGGGGGGGGGGGGGGGGGGGTGTTAACATCTATATGGGGGATAAATAAATTAGGGTGAAAATTTTCCTATCAATAATGAAATTTCTGACCTGCAATTCTTCCTCTGCCCTGGAAGAGTTCCGCTCTGATCCAGGATTACTCAACACTTCCTCCTCCTCATCCCCTCGCAGGGTCCCCAGAAACTGGTCCAGCGTTACGACTTTGTTAGACTCCTCAGACGCGGGCGCGTACGTGCGCAGCATGGATGCAAAACTCTCTCCTGGTTTGTAGGAAATCAATTTCTATTACATCAAAAGGTTAACTTATTTTAAAGAAGTTTAACAGATTGTTATTAAAATTTAACCTATAAATTTGTACATGTGTAAGTTTGTGTGTGTATACGTGTGTATATAAATACGTTTGTGTGTGTGTATATTTTGAACTGTGAATTGGTTTGAAAACTACACCATCATCTCATCATCTTTTCCTGCTTGAGCCCAAGGCACATGTGGCAGAAAAAGTAGAGTTCATCTGTTTCAATGACCTCGACATACAAGGCGATAGTGTGGTCAGCACTATGCCCAGTCGCCGTTGTTTTGCCTAAAGTGAGTTAGGTACCCATCAGAGTTGGGTGGACTCAGGGAAATTCTAATTTAACCTTGGACGGGAACTTGAAACTTTTGGGTTTGCAGTCTAGCTCTCTACCGCTAGGCCACATATATTCCCCACATATTTCCCTTGAAAGTTTTTCTATGCTCAACTAGTGATGATTTGATTAGATATGTACTTGCCTCTGGAGCTCTCTAGCTCAGAATTTTTCTTCTCACTTTTAGCATCAAACTCTGAGGACCAGCCTGACATGCCACTTAAGCTGTTGCCAAATCTACCAGAGGAGTAGTCGTTGGCTTCATTTTCTGTTTGGTTTGTATTGGATGGGATCTGCACTGGCTCTAGTTTCCCCTCTGATGGTCTGTCACCTGTTTCAAAACCACCAGACATCTCTATGCTAGCATCCTGGTGAGGTTTGCCAGTCTCTTCCTTGTTAAGATCAGGGATTTGTCTCCCTTCTTGGAGAAGATCAGAGTTATCCTTATTTTTATCTGGTTTAACCAGTGAAGTTTTCTGTACACTAGATTTGGTATCACTGTGTTTGGCTTGTGTTTTCAAGTGTGTGTTGATATCACTGGCCACCCAGGCTACACTATCCTCAAGGGGAACAACTTTATTGATATGACTATTAGGGTAGACCACCTTCTGAGCCTGCTCAACAGCAGTGGTTTCCCTTAGCTCCCTGTCCTTGTCCGCTTGTCTGTCAATCTCATGCAAGACTCTGTGTAAAATTGCTTCTTGCTCAACCTCGCTCAGCTTTAAAGGTGGGAGTGATGCACAAATTTCTTCGTAGTTTCTCAGTCTGGGTTTGTCTTTAACATCAGCGGTGACGGATGGTTGATGCCCACTTTCAGAGTTTGGTAAAGAATTTGGGGAACTAACGCTTGGGGATTTTATTTCTTCCACGTGGGAATTTCTTTGTGGGCTCTTGGTTAAAGACAGCCTGCTGGTCAGTTCATCCATGTACGAAGGTGAAGGTCGGGTCGGAGAGAGGTGGACGAGATCGTCCTCACTAACTCTTCGACTCCTGGGTCTACTAGGGGATGCTGCTATCTCTGTTAAGTTGGGGTCGTCAAGTACAACATGGGATTTACCCCTCATCTCTACCTCGTGTGTCTCGTCAGGTCCTGGGCCAGTTGCTGGGGTGATCTTGTAGTCCCACTCACTGCTTGCTGGTTCAGGTATTGGGGAAATGTTGACATTTTCCTTGATGGAGCTAGTGGATTCTTTACCGCAATCTTTTACCTCCAACAGGGGAGGGGTGGATGATGCCTCTCTGGAACGTGACTCGTACGTGCTGGTGAAAGCTTGGCTAAACACATACGGGCCTGGGTCTGGGCATGATACGTGGGAACACGTAGACCCCTCAGACTGGGAAAGGGCACTAACTGTGTTGTGAAGGTCTTCAAAATCTTTTAGGTTTCCAAAGATAGAACTCTCCCGTATTTCACCTACTGGTTGGGTGGGTGCTACATCCTGTACCAGCCTCACTGAGTTTCTCTCCCCTTGTGAATGTTTGTCTGGAAATTAAACAGAAAGGAACCATTATGCTATGATTTTTAAAAATGTGTTAATTAAGTCAAAAGCTCAACACAGAAATATAGGCGGTATCAAAAACTCAATAATATCAGTTTACACAGTACTTTTGTTGTCATCAGTTAAGATTAATCAATCAAATGTATGAAATGTAAAAATGACATATCAATAACTATGTATTGTACTTATTCATAGTAAACATATTGAATGAAAAAGAAATGTATTTTGTAGTTAGCTTGTAATGTTCAAAGTAGCTCAGAATAACTCTAATGTGTGAGTTACCATTTTGTAAATGCTGGACTTGACTTTGTGAATGCTGGACTTGTCTTTGTGAATGCTGTACTTGACTTTGTGAATGCTGTACTTGACTCGGTGTAGCAAGAACTTGACTGATTGACGGAGGGGGGACAGTCTGGGAGTCTAAAGCACCAACCAGCTGTAGGGTGCCATTTGTCCAGCTGTTCAAGACACTGGAGTTGAGAGACATCTTAAAGTCTAGACTCATCAGGCCTGGTGGGGCAAAAAACATGTAAAGTAGATATCTTATTCATATAAGACACAGAACTCAATACACCTAGTAAAGTAGATATCTTATTCATATAAGACACAGAACTCAATACACCTAGTAAAGTAGATATCTTATTCATATAAGACACAGAACTCAATACAACTAGTAAAGTAGATATCTCATTCATATAAGACACAGAACTCAATACAACTAGTAAAGTAGATATCTCATTCATATAAGACACAGAACTCAATACACCTAGTAAAGTAGATATCTTATTCATATAAGACACAGAACTCAATACACCTAGTAAAGTAGATATCTCATTCATATAAGACACAGAACTCAATACACCTAGTAAAGTAGATATCTTATTCATATAAGACACAGAACTCAATACAACTAGTAAAGTAGATATCTCATTCATATAAGACACAGAACTCAATACAACTAGTAAAGTAGATATCTCATTCATATAAGACACAGAACTCAATACACCTAGTAAAGTAGATATCTTATTCATATAAGACACAGAACTCAATACACCTAGTAAAGTAGATATCTTATTCATATAAGACACAGAACTCAATACAACTAGTAAAGTAGATATCTCATTCATATAAGACACAGAACTCAATACACCTAGTAAAGTAGATATCTTATTCATATAAGACACAGAACTCAATACACCTAGTAAAGTAGATATCTTATTCATATAAGACACAGAACTCAATACACCTAGTAAAGTAGATATCTCATTCATATAAGACACAGAACTCAATACACCTAGTAAAGTAGATATCTCATTCATATAAGACACAGAACTCAATACACCTAGTAAAGTAGATATCTCATTCATATAAGACACAGAACTCAATACACCTAGTAAAGTAGATATCTTATTCATATAAGACACAGAACTCAATACACAGTGTAGAGTAGACATCTTATTCATTTAGGACAGACATTTCATTGATATGACAGAACCCAATACACAAGATAGAGTAGTTATTTATATAAGACAAAGCATTCTTACTTGCTTCATGAAAGGAGATATTAAATTCATTTTTAGTAGGACTGCGACATCACATACAAAATTAATTAATTAATGTATGCAGTTAAAAATATCAATGTTTAAATTCTGAATGCAAGTAAAAAAAAAGAATTTTAGAATTTGTCCTAACATTACAAAATCAGCAAAATTTTTAGAAATTGGAAATGCCATCTTATCAAATGTAAGCTTTGTGTTTTGAATTTGCATGAAAGAAAATACAAGAATCTAAGACTGATCACTTCATTACTTAATTAATGAAATCATATTGATATGGGTGAAGTAAACAAAGCATGCATTAATACAGCAATGAAGGAGAAACAGAAGGAAGTTGAAGATACCTGTTAGAAGATTGTTTAATATCCCAGGCTGCTCAAAGTCTCTGAGGTAGGAGTAGGAATGATAAAAATATCTGCAACATACAGGACAGATTCAAATATCTGAATCATAGATAAAAATATATCAAACATGGAGGATGGAATATCTGGAAAACACAACTGATAAAAACAGAGGGCTAGTAATCATTAAAACAAGTATTTTAAAATGGTAATAAATATAAACACAAAATGTCATGATCATATTGATAAAAGTAGTTTAAAACAATGACAAAATGTCATAATCATATTGATAAAAGTAGTTTCAAGCAATGACAAAACGTCATAATCATATTGATAAAAGTAGTTTAAAACAATGACATACCTAAGTGTCTTAACATCAGCAATCATAGAATGGATGTAGCTCTGCATTAGGCCATCATTTAAAGCTAAACGAACCCAAGCCTGTTGAGAATATATTGGGGAATTTTGAAATTGAAAATGTTATTAAACTGCAGAAATTAACAGTGAAAAAGTTAAACTGCAGTAATTAACAAACAGAAAATCTGGAAAATATAATTAATCTTACCACAGGCCAGCTTATTTACCTTAGTGTTTATTTCACCTTATTTTAACTCATTATATATTGGCTTAGCCCTCACAAATATTACACAATTAAAACTAGATGTTTGTGTCAGACTACTCTTCAGATGTCTAGACCCTACACAAGTTTTCTCACCCTTTACAAGCCACCACTTAGCCTAGACTCTACACAAGTTTACTTACCCTTTACAAACCACAATTTAGTCTAGACCCTACACAAGTTTTCTCACCCTTTACAAACCACCACTTAGAATAACAAAAGTTTACTTACCCTTTACAAGCCACCACTTAGCCTAGACTCTACACAAGTTTACTTACCCTTTACAAACCACCACTTAGCCTAGACTCTACACAAGTTTTCTCACCCTTTACAAACCACCACTTAGAATAACAAAAGTTTACTTACCCTTTACAAGCCACCACTTAGCCTAGACTCTACACAAGTTTACTTACCCTTTACAAACCACCACTTAGCCTAGACTCTACACAAGTTTACTTACCCTTTACAAACCACCACTTAGAATAACAAAAGTTTACTTACCCTTTACAAACCACCACTTAGCCTAGACTCTACACAAGTTTACTTACCCTTTACAAACCACCACTTAGCCTAGACTCTACACAAGTTTACTTACCCTTTACAAACCACCACTTAGCCTAGACTCTACACAAGTTTACTTACCCTTTACAAACCACAATTTAGTCTAGACCCTACACAAGTTTTCTCACCCTTTACAAACCACCACTTAGAATAACAAAAGTTTACTTACCCTTTACAAGCCACCACTTAGCCTAGACTCTACACAAGTTTACTTACCCTTTACAAACCACCACTTAGCCTAGACTCTACACAAGTTTACTTACCCTTTACAAACCACCACTTAGCCTAGACTCTACACAAGTTTACTTACCCTTTACAAACCACCACTTAGCCTAGACTCTACACAAGTTTACTTACCCTTTACAAACCACCACTTAGCCTAGACTCTACACAAGTTTACTTACCCTTTACAAACCACCACTTAGCCTAGACTCTACACAAGTTTACTTACCCTTTACAAACCACCACTTAGCCTAGACCCTGCAAGTTTACTCACCCTACACCAACCAATCTCCGTGCTGATCTGAGACAAAGCTTGCAGCTGTGTGACCACATCCTTGTGTGTAAACTTGGCAGCCACGCTCCAGAAATTCTAAACATACAAGAGACCTCTGATTTATCTCAGCATAAGGTTTTTTTTTTAAAACTCATTCTGATAAAACAAGAGTGGAAAACAAACCTGAATTTTCAAACAACTGATAGACTCATGTCACACTTATTCATCCTCATCTATTCCTTTTTCGTGCCACATACACATGGGGCAGATGAAGTAGAGTTAAACTTTTTCACTGACCACTGCATATAAGGGTTGTAGTGGTCAGCACTATGCCCAGCCGCCTTTGTTTCCCTAAAGTTAGTCAGATACCCAGATGGACACAGGGATGTCCTACAATACAAACTTCAGCCAGAGATATGAACTCAAGGCTATTAGGTTAGTAGTCTAGCACTCAACAGCTAAGGCCACACCATACCCATTCCCTTATTACTAAAATATTTCCTAAGAAAACATACCAAATTTTGTTGAGCAACTGGGGCTGTTGGTGCCAGTCCAACATAGGCAGTCAACTGAAAATAGACATCTATTCGTTAGCAGAGAAGTAATAAAAATATTTTTTTTAAACTGTTACAAAAATTGGATCCAACTAAATTGAAAAAAAAAGGCCTGATACTGATATGAAATGAAAGCTGTAATCAAGTATTATGACTACAGATGGCAGTGAATGCAGTAAAATTTCACACAAAAGATTCTACCTTCTGAGTTACTGAATCCTTGAGACCATGCAAGAAAACAGCCTCTAGTGAGTTGCACAAGTTATTGGACGAATCATTGCTTAAATAATATAACAGAAAATGTGCTGCATTAAATATAGGCTACTTTATTATATCATCAAGCATAACATAATGTGTTCAATTCAGTTCACTCTTACCACAAAACATTAATATCTTCAACATACATCTCTTATAACCTTTTTTTTTTATTTTAATTTTTTTTTTTAATCTGTAGACCCCACTGGATATTTAGATTCACCCAACACCAAAACCCAACCCACTATTCCCTTACCCTAAGGAAAAATGTCGGCAAGGAAACTTGTACTGACCTGTAAATAAACTCAGCATTGTCTGACTGTAAGTACTTCTGCTGTAAGATTTTCAAAGTCTTGGCAAAATGTGCTGTGATTCCTCTTTTAATATTAGTATGATGGACCATGTCCTGGTTTTCATCTATATGAAATAAAACATAATCATGACAAAAAGAGTAGTTGAACATCCTATTGGTATTTGTAGGCTTAAATAATAGGTGTCATAGTTACAGCCAATTTTAAACTATGCTGCTAAGGCTTTTAGAGCCATGCTTACTAATACTGCCTCTAAAGTAGCCTTTAGTATAGGGTAGGGAATGACTCATGTTTTAACTTGTAATATATCTGAGAAATCTTGAGTTTTTTAGGAATCTATATTACTTGTCTTAGAGTATTAATATATAACGAGCCGACCCGCTGCGTATCATACGCCGCTATTTAGTTGTTTTATTTTCTACTTTTCAGTAATTCATAATTTGTGAATTCGACAGTACCAATGCTGCCACTGAAAATATTTGCTTTAAAACACTAATCCCCCCCCCTTTTCCCCTAACCCCGACCCTACCCCCCCCCCCCCCCGTGAAAGCAGCCTCCTCTTAGTTATTTCTTAGTTACCTCCTGTAAGTTTAAAATCGAACTAAATTATCTGCCCCTAATAGAAACCCGGATCTATCGCTCTACGATTTGTAAACATTTAGCTTTGTAAACAATTAGCGTGACCACAGCTCACCAGACAATGTGTGGGGGGGAGGGGTAGTGATAGTGAGAGAGAGAAAGAGAGGGGACTGCAAGGAGGTGCTTGCAGCTTGTTTTCTAACGGCTCCCAGAAGAGAATTATATATATAGATATTACATAGGCTGAAATTTATAACTAACCATAAATTTTGTTTATTTAAATAATTATTTTTTTAACATTTTAAGAATATTTATAGCCATATCTTTAACAGTTACTACTATTTCAGGGGTCAGCAACCTTTTGAGCCGGAAGAGCCAAAAATTACAATTTACACAATTTTCCAGTTTTTAAAGAGCCACTAACATTTTTTTTTTAAATATTTTGGTATTTGATAAGGATTATGTAAATAAATTTGATTTTTTATTTGAAATAAGTGGCGTTAAATATGAACTAATATTGATTCATATTAAAACATCCAAATGTTTTGCACGAAAACTGCTTTAGCTAGCTAAAGAAGTTGGCACTTGGGCAGTGGCAAGCAAGGAATTGTTTGCAAAGGGGCTGGCTAAAGCACGGCTGTGGGGCTGGGCTGGTGCCCAAGCAGCTGTCCGTATACTTTCTACCTCACCTACTCTCACTGTTCTCTGATGAGTGGTGTTTTTATCCTGCTTAAAGTTGTTTTTCTTCACAGTATAATATTTTTATGAGTTTTGAAAATTAAAATAATATATTTATTAATATTTGTGCATGGAACTGAAGAGCAGCATCTTGACATTAAAAGAGCCACATGTGCATCTTGACATTAAAGGAGCCACATGTGCATCTTGACATTAAAGGAGCCACATGCGGCTTGTCGATTGCTGACCCCTATACTATTTTATTCTTTTGAAGGACATCCCTTTATTGTGGGGAACCATAATCAATGACTGAGCAACAACAGAGTAACAATTACATTGCATGCCATTGAAGTTGACTAGAAGTATGTTATAATAAAGCTACTAGGTTTTCACTTTCAAACAACACCTACAGTTAAGTAGTCAATCGGTAAAATGTATTGTTTTGACAAGGTTACATAATTAATATAAAAGTTTAGTTATAATGATTATGTTATGAAATTTAAAGCGCTTTCTTGTGTTTTTCAAGCATGTCTTGGTTGCACTTGGTTAATTTAGCTATTCTTGTGAAAGTTATTTCCCTTGAATGAAAGTTTCTTATTTGGATTTACAAATGGGAGGTAATTCATTACTTAGGTTGACCGCTAATAAATACAACTTTAAGTTATTATTTGCTATTGTAAAAATATAAAGCAGGAGTTCTAAACAAAATATTTTGGTAGTTTTTTCTCGCATTATCAAGTTGAAAAACAAATACAATAGTAGCCAATATATACAATAGTAGCCGTTGTAGATTGCAATACTTAATATTAGTGGACATACAGTATGCTATTGTTTTAGTCGCAAATGTAGATTGCAATATTTAATACTAGTAGACAAACAGTATGCGATCGTTTTATTCGCAAATTAATCATCAACATCAAACTAATTAAGTGTATTTTTCATATTTTTCACCCTTTTCTAAAGGATCCATATATAAAAATTGTTGGCTGGAATCTATAACATTTGTAAACTTTTATTTTTCAAAAGCAAAAAATCATTACATAATCACACAATACAATTATAACTAAAAACAGTCAAGCTTAAAGTAGAATCGTGGACTTAGCAACAATTTCAATAGAAAGCTATTATGCTTCCACACTGGAATTGAAGGAATTAGTACAGACTTTTGTGATGAAGGAGGCAAGTAAAATTTGATTGTGATGTCTACTTATAACATTGATACAACTGATAATGACTTAAATGTCACTTTTAATTTGTTGTTTTTTATACATATTAGTAATTAATTTGTGTGAAAGGGGGCGTTTTAATTAAAGTTTTGCCTAAGGCGACGGCACTGCATAGCCTAGGCCTAACTAAGTTGATACAAATACTACTGCTACTACTTAATTTAGTTAACTTACTGCAGTGCATTCAATTATTAGTAATTACACTCATTAGATTTTGTAGTTAACAGTTTTAGTTAAATACCATTGTAACTCTAGTAAGCCCACAAGCAGAGGTGTAGTTAGGGGTGGAGCTCCTGCCTTAAAGGGTGGGGGAGGGAGTCAAATGGGTAGAAAATAAACCGGGAATGATCTCCCCTAAACTTTCTCGAATATTCTAATTTAAAATTACGAGGGATGGCAACTCAGGACATAGACAATATTTGTTATCCATTTTTAATTACTTAAACTTTTTATAATAGAATAGAATCTCGTAAAAAAATGAATTGCACACCAAGTGAAAAGTTTCCCTTTCAAACCTGACGGTCTATGGGGCAAGTGAAGTAGAGTTCACTTGTTTCTGTGACCTCGGCATATGAAGAGATAGTGTGGTCAGCACTATGCCCAGCCGCCTTTACTTTCCCTAACAGGAGTTAGGTACCCATCAGAGTTGGGTGGACTCAGGGACGGTCTACTGACTTGAACTCGGATTCAAACTCGAGATTAACGGGTTAGCAGTCCAGCTCTCTACCGCTAGACCACTCCGTCCCACACCAAGTGAACGCCTAATAAAATGTGTATAAAAGTGCGGGATATTATTAGTACTTTATAAATTTACATGTGTTTTTTGAGAAATCGGAAATAGCGTAAATTAGTACTTCTGGCCAACAGAAATTACTCAAAATTTGACAGAAGGTAGAGAATTAGATCTTTTACTTACGTGTGAAATTTCATGCATCTATCTAAAATAGTATGCAACTTATAGGCTTTTGAAACATTCAAAGAAGAAAAAGTACCATTTCCGGTTATCGGAAATCGCTCAAAAGTTGATCAGGATCTACGATTTTGATAAAATACTTATATATGAAATGTCATCAACCTAGCTGTAACGGTACTCAAGTAATCGTGTTTACACACAGACAGACACACACAGAGACAACGGACAGAATTGCAAAGTCCAGTTTTTACGACTCGATAACGCATAAAACGCTAAAATGTTATTATATTTGTATTTATAATTTTTGCCTGATTAAAATAAGTCCTCTATACTCCGGATGTGATGAAGGACTGAGAAGTAAAACGGTGAAAACTGTCAAAATTTCATGTTATTTTTGTGCACGATTACAATACTTTCTCTATACTTTGTATATATGAGAAAGTAAAAATAAATATGTCAATGTGAATAATTACGGGGGGGGGGGGGAGGCACAAAATTGGTTGTTCACTTAGGGCACCGAAATGGGTTGCTATGCCTCTACCTACAAAATTCTACAATATTTTATAATCTACTTCTCAACTTCTTGGGCTACATATCCAAAGCAATTTGTTAGGTATATAAGTTCTATAGGCTGACTTATTTTATATTATAGGGCAGATAGAATCTATACTAATTGTAAAATGGATATGATGAAATTAAACTAAAAATTATTAGTTCTAGATCTTTAGGTAAACAATGTGTTGAATTGTTTTATATTGTTACATCACAATGTAATAAGTGGAGTGTAAGAATTATTGTGTAGTAATGTATAACAGTAGAGTTGGCTTTATATTTATACTATGTAAAACTGCATTTTAGCATAATTTATTTGCCACTCCCTGTTCACCTCTAGTTGAGTGTATTTTATCAAAACACAACCGAAACACACACAAAAAATAATTCATTTTTTTTATTACTTTTTGTTTTAATTTATGATCATTTTGTCTGAATTTGTGAAAAACCCAAATTTGATACATTAAGTGTTCCTTATTTAACTGTTTGTTTTACAATTGAAAATTATGAAATTATGTCACTTTAAAGATTTTCATGGGTATGGATAAATATATACCTCTTGTTTACAGTATCACGCATGAGTGGTAATTTGGTAATATAAACGTATGTGAACTCACAGTGTCGGCACCACATCTTCAAGTAGAGATTACACAGGCTATGACATATGCTGGTATATAAATTGGATGATTATAGATACAGTTGTCCAATAATGTAATCTTCTTTAAAAAAAGGGGTGTTGGCTTGTTAGTAATATTGTAACCTCGACTAATTTTAAGGTTAGAAATTAGGGTTAGGCGTATGGTAGGACCAGGGTTGGGTTAGGGACAGGGTTAGCATTGACATTAGCCAGCCATGTGTTTATTTTGTTAACTACCAGTAACCTAACACCCCTTTTTTAAAGAAGATTCCATTATCGGACACCGGTATAAACATTTTCCCTCTAAACCAATGGAACTCACATGGACCCCTCTACCAGGTAGGAATTTTCTCCAGCTGACAAGAAAACTTGAGCCGGTGATTACACGCTACTTAATTGAAACTGTAGGCCTATCTCTTGTGTACTATCTAGCAGGTTTTTTTTCTTTACCTACAAAACATTCAGCCATTTGATCTATATAAAACACTCATAACAGAGAGTAAAGAAGTAGTGTTTTATTAATGTTTTTGTGTTTTGGTTGTGCTTGAATAAAATACACTCAACTGGAGGTGAATGGAAGCAGCAAATACACTTAAATACAATAAAATTGTAGATTTAGGTAGATTTATGTATCTAGATTCTAGGTGCAGGCTACCCAAAACTTAAGCCACAAAAAAAAAAAAAACAAGACAATGGCAGCTGATCTCAAAATAAAATAACTAGCCTACAAAACTATGTTTAGAGTTTAATAGTTTTGAGCGATTGTTTCAATTTTCAATGTTTTGTATTTTTCTGTGTAGGGTGTAGGGAAATTGCGAGACGCGAAAAGCGAAATGGCGAGGCGGAAAAATGCGAGAAGGGCGCGAAAACGGTCGGTCACGTGACTTTTTTGTCTTGCATTTTACCACAAGCCGATACTTACGCTGGGTGGTGTTGAAATGCGAAGATTTCTGCGAAAAATTTACCGCACCCGATTTTTGAGTGGTATTTGGTCCAGACTTCAAAAACGTTTCGTTTACATTGTTAAAACTTCCGATTTTTCCGTCGCTAGACATACTGATGATTTGTCAACTCCCCCCATCTTTTGTGTCGACTTAGAATACCACCTTGTTCGAAACCGACGGAAATACCGCCGACGATAGATCAACTTCTGTCTTTTGTGTGGAACGCCGAGGCCGCCTGATTTACCGTCTTTGAAGATCGCGTGCCCGGATCCGCTGCCGCAGCAAACATATTTTCTATTGTTGCATAGAAATTTTGTATTATAGCCGCCGCCTACGATTTTTTTCTAGCTTTTTTTACCATATAAATCTAAGCACAAGGAAATGCCTACATCATTTGGATACAACTATTCTGGAGGTAAGAACTACTTACTGTGTGTTTTCTCTTCCAATGTTCCCTTACACTAATTTATATTAGATTTTATATCACGGTTGTGACTTTTTCGAATTTTCCCATGAATGTTATATTATTATTTATTAATTAATTGTAAATATATATATATATATATATATATATATATATATATATATATATATATATATATATATATATAATTTATTATTTCCATAAATAAGTCAGAAAAAATAACATCAAATTAAGTATGCGATTTATACTGCCCTATGTGAAGGTGAGGACTAGATTAACCCTCCCTTATGTGTTGCTTATTCCTAAGCTTTTATGAACTCTCAATGCCCCCAGTTTTTTTTCTCTTACTTACTGTTTGGGGAAAAAATAAAGTGACGTCACCGATATTATCAGTTGCTCGTGCTATATCGTAAGCTATGGGCCTACTTCAAATATTTTTAAAACCAAGTTGAACTTATCTGAATTTTTTGGTTTTGGTCGTGGTGTTATTTGGGGTCTTCCATAAATGACGTCACACTCGTAGGGGGGGTCTGTAATTTTATGACGATGTGTGATGAGGGGGAGGAGGGGGGGGTAGATGTTATGTCACACTATAAACAAGAATAAACATGAGCGGGCTAGATTTTTAAATTAATGCCGACTGAGACGTGATTTTCCTCTCGCTAACAAGATCAGACGATGACAGTAGCACAGCAACGATGTTAGGATTTTTAAATAGATAGATCTAGATCTAGATATAGATCTATCTATCTTCTTAGTATCTAGATAAAAAAATAACAACATACAACACTTGTGTTAAAGGGTATGGCTAAATGCTTGTTTATTTTAAAACAAAAAAAATAATTTAAATAAAGATGGAAAAGAAAAAACTTTTTTCACAAAAAGTGTCTCGCTATTTACCCTTAATTCCGCAGGTATGTCTCGCATTACCTTCTCGCATTTTCCCGCCTCGCCATTTCGCGTCTCGCAAATTCCCCACACCCAATTCTAGATCTAGATTCTCTCGAAAAGAAATTATTTTGAATATTTTTATTTAGACCCAAACCCTAGACTAGAATAAAAGAATGCCCTAGGCCTCGATCTAGAATCTAATCATCTAAAATCTATAATATTCTAGATCTAGTGACTTTTAGTTTTTAGTTAGTGGACTAGTGGTAATCTATCGTTTTAAGTATGTCGAATCGCCCGCGACTAGTAATATGAAAAACAGGTGACTCCTTAAATTTTAATAATTTTTTCACGTTTTGAGGAGGATTTATGTTAAGAAAAATACAAAAATGTTTCCCTGTTTCATTTAGGCCTATGTACCTGTTTTTAAACAATTGAATTAAAACTTTTCAGTAATAAATGAAAACTAGCGATGTTTCCAACAGATGCAACATTGCTCATTTACTATAGCAGCCATCTTGTTGAATTTTTTTTAATAAACTTATAGCGTGAGATTCAGGGGAAGCCACTCTAACTTACAGATAGCCGCTTTTTATATAGCAAATCCTGCTCGCAAACACTGCTGTTTAAAGTTAATTTCTTGCCTAGGCCTCTACACCTGTAAGTCATAACTATATGTCAACTATATGATATTGATATATTTAGCCATTGATTTAGGTTTGATTCAAAAATTAAATATATTATAATATTATATATTATAGGCATATTTGACACAAATATATCACAAATACTTCTATTAAAGCCTTGACAATGAGGTAACTTTTTCGTACATTACTAGCCGCGGGCAGATTTTACGTACCTAAAACGATAGATTACCACTAGAGACTAGATTCTAGAGTAGATACTATAGAGATTCTAGAATCTAGAGTCTAGATTCTAGTATCTAGACTCTAGACGAGTCTGGTCTGTCTAGCTTCACTAGCTACAACAGCTAGAATCTAGTAGTAGACTAGTAGTAGTGTAGATCTAGAATCTAGATCTAGAAATTCTAGATTCTAGATCTAGATCTAGAATCTAGATGATATATCTAAAATAGCTAGATTCTATATGAAAAGAGGAAACAACCTTTCTTCTTGAACATGGTTATATAATGAGTAAGAAAACGTGTGAAGGAAATACACTAAAAAAATTTCCAACACTGTCACTCGTATTCTTAAAATTCTGGTGATCAGATTTCCATTGCGATGTTTGTTTATCTCAAGGGTCATGTTTTGTATGCCAGATATTTTTCAAGTTAAAAATGCTAAACAAAAATCCTTTTTATTGCAAAAAATTTTTTTATTTGAAATTTGAAAAACATTAAATAATATACTTTTAAATTTAAGTTTAAGCTTATTGTTTGTCTAATAACATATTATATAAGCTTTTAAATAAACTTATTTGCAAAAAAGAGGAATAATCTCGGTAATATTTAGACAATGATAAAAAATATTAGCTTTAAATGTATGTTTATTCTTAAATTAATTAGATTAATTGCCTCATTATATAGGGGTCATCCATAAATGACTTCACGCTTTTTTTACGATTTTTACCTCACCCCTCCCCTTCGTCACACATCGTCGCAAAAAGTCAACCCCCTTCCCCCCCCCCCCCCCCCCCCCCCGCCAAAAATGACATCACACCACAGCCTACAACCCCCCCCCCCCCCCCCCCCCTCACAATTGCAGTTGATTTTTTTCTTAAAATACGATATTTTTTCCAAAATTTTGTCTAAACTCTGTCAAAATAGTGTATTTTAATCAATTCATATCACAATTTCATTAACAGTTTTCTAAAACGCGAAATAACGTCTAAATTCGTTAATACCAAAGTGTGACGTCACACCATCTGAACCCCCCCCCCTCCCCCTCATCAAACACCGTCACAAAATTGCGGACCCCCCCCCCCCTCCCCCCTACGAATGTGACGTCATTTATGGACGACCCCTTGACGCAAGGAGGCTTTGTTAGATTATTTTAGAGAAGATGTGGCTTATTATGACGACATGTGTTGAGGTGGTGGAGGGAGGGTCGTTTATTCATAATACGGTACTAATTCTACGCGGGTGTTATAAAAGTTATAATATTCTTCTTTTATTGTAACCCAAGTAAGAATTTAATTGTCTATGAGAAAGAACTCTAACATGGGTTTGCGAGGAAGGATTGATTATTCATTTTGTTTTTGATTGCAGCTTTTTCCTTTCATTTTTTTTTCCAGCTGCAATTAAAAAAAAAAATTATTCGTTATCAGTTTCTGTCAAATACACGAAGGCAAGTGGACTTAATTTAAATCCGTGTTGATTACATTTATTGTTTTTTATAGTGGCATTTGGGTTTAATGATATTTGACACAGAGGAGTATTGTGACTTCGAAGAGGGGCCTGAAAGAAACTGTCTATAATGTAGGCTACTGTAAACTAAAATATTCAGCTAAAACATTATTGAAGCTAAAAACAGAAATACAACAAGAGAGACAAAGTGAATGTTTATCCTGACTGTAGTAGACAGCTGTTGCATGTAGAGTAGTGGTTCTTCGTCTCCACCAAATCTAACAACTAATGATGCAGTAACCGTTTATCATAGCACGCTCCAGCAGAGAGCAAATGTTATTGCTGATTGTATCTATTGTATTTATGTATTTGTAAATATAATTTAAGTTTATATTGGTTAGGATGTCACTATTTATGTGAGTGCGTACTTGTGTGTGTATGTGTGTGTGTGGGGGGGGGGCAGTGGTAATATTCCCCACTCGATAAACAAACTACATTTTTTTTTAAATGATGGTGTAGTTTTCTTTATAGTTAAAATAATTTTGTTTGCTAGAATGCCATTCTGCTATAATAAAATTGTATATAAAACTTTAAATTGTAAAGAAGAAAAACATTTTTGCTTCGAGGAAATATAATATCCAATACGGGGATGGTCACACACAAACAAAAACAAACAAAAAAAATTCTGAACAAGCCATCAAGAAAAAAGGTTGGAAGACACTATTTTAGTAATAAAAAAAACGATTTAGATCTACGAATGTTTGTAAACAACTTAGATATTAAATGTCGCTCCGGATTACTCTCATTCATCAAACTTTTGTGTTTTTTTTAACTACTACAAGTAGCAGTGGCGGAACTAGAACAAAAGGGCCACCCCGCAAAAAAATTTCTGGGCCCCCTATATATATATATATATATATATATATATATATATATATATATATATATATATATATATATATATATATATATATATATATATATATATATATATATATATATATATATATACTCAAACACAGAATACAAACATTGGATAGTCATTTATGACCTGAAACATATGCCTATTGGGGAGGGGAACTAAGCCTCCATGTCGCTTTCAAGATAATAACAGAGACTTAATTCGAACATTTAGAGCATTAAGAAAAATTTAAAAGTCAAAATCATGACATTACAAACATGAACACGTGTTGCGTTTGTTATGTGAGGCTATTTAAATCGTATGTATTAGTTGTCAAAGAATGATTTTGAAAATAAAATCAATTACATTTTGTACGCTAAATTTAGAGTCTGTTATATTAATCTAACTGTAGTCTCTTATATAGGTATATTAAATTTGGTGTCTTGGAAGGAGGAGGGAGACTAAGCCCACCCAAGGCACCCCCTAGATCCGCCTATACCATTATATTATGCTATTTTAAAATTATATTAACCCTGTACACCTGGCGAATAAACGTTTCCTTTATACATTATGATAGGCAGGTGAAGTTATTTAAACAGGAGAAGGTGAACATATGTAGATTAAAATCGTAGGGTCCACGAGACCAAAGTTTAAGAACCATTGTTCACTAGTCTAAAACTCTCTCATAGCTACGAATGAATGTGTGTATAAATCAAGAACTGTAACTCTGTATTTGACCTAGTTCAGGTGTTTGATTACACTGTCAGCTGGCAACATTCTATGTTTTTTACTGCCAGCTACTTACATGTAGGATTATTCTACCTTAATGGTAAGAAGCAGTTTCCCTGAGGTTTTTTTTTTTAATCTGTTTAAAAAAATTTCAACACACTATTAATAGAACATTCTTGTTTTCGTGTAATTTACATGTTTGGAGCTTAAGTGGTGCTGTTTTAGAACCCACCCCACACCTCTTTATAGCCCCACCCCCTCCACTCCACACCTCTTCAGCTATATACGCATACACCAAATGGACTTGCAAAAAATTGTTAGCTGTTATGTTGTTAATTTTTTTTGTAACATAAAATCATTAGAAAATAATGTTAAAAAAAGATCTGCAACTTAAACGTGGTCGATAGTTTTTCAAGTGCATGAAGCGTAAAAAAATCTTTTGGAAAGTGGAAGTGCAAGTTCTACAATAGTGGTGGTGGCAGAGGCGTAACTACCCATTCTGGCGCCCTGAGCGAAATATTTTGAGCCTCCTTCCATTTATATATAGTTATTCATGTAAAAAAAAGCGCCCCCCCCCCCCTTCCAGGTGGAAATATTGGTGCCACTTTTAACAGTCACTATCCCGTGACAGTATCTATTTTGGTGCCACACTATTGACGTTGAAAACAGTTAAGTCAGAATGTAAAGCCGTGTAGCCGTTTATTTTCTGAACTTTGACTGTGTATAATTCAATACTTCAAATTAAAATGAGAGTTTTAATTTTTTCAAACCCTTTTTAGGGTTGGCGCTCGGGGCGGCCGCCCCATCTGCCCTCCCCTAACTACGCCACTGGGTGGTGGAGGGTGGGCGCTAAGATACAGACCTGTGTGAAATAGATAGCATTGTTTTGTACCTACGACGCCATTTTATGTAAAGCTGCATTTTTTTTTTATGGTTTCGATTTTATAAGGTTCTTTTAAATTTGATCCTATTTCAACGTAATATATTTTGATGTGTTCTGTTATTGTCCATATGATTTTGCCTTCACCCCCATCTCTCAACTTTGCACCCTAGGGGTACGCCCCCCCCCCCCTCCCCCACAAACTGGGAACAGCTGGTCTGTTAATTAACTGTTTCACAAAAACAATTGATCGTGGTTGATTTGCTACACGAAAAGTAAAACGGTAATGTTCTATCAAATGCAATCACGGGGAATGGGAGGGTGGGGTTAATGGGGGGGGGGGGGGGGGGAATCAAGCATTTAAATTTAAAGGTTCGTGTCTTGATTCGAAGAATGGGGTGGAGTATTTTTATCGCGCCAAATTAAAATAGACAATGTAGTCCAATGAATGTGTAGAATTAATGGGCGAATAATATAAAAAAAAAACTCTCTCGAATTTCATTCGGAAGAATAAAAAAAAATGTTTAAAATCAGTAATTTGTCTGTGCTATTTATAGTCCATGTATATCCCCCAGTCAATACAGGCTTGTTCGCACTCTTTGGATGGTTGTTGACACGACACGACGTCACAATGCTAATTATTATTTAACCTGCCACGGCCGTCTGCTTTGAGCCAGCTGGCCAGATTTTGTCAGGAGTACAGGCCAAAGATGAACATTGTGGAGATTGTATGTGTTCTCGCTGTGTTGACGGAATGTGTGTTGTTTACTTCTGGGGATGACGACACAGTGTGTGAAGAGACAAAGCATGCTGACGTCAAGTATTTCGACATACGTCTGCCGTATATGAATGTACCGGAGAATTTGACGTCATACGTGTGTGATCTACAGCGGGTAAATGTTTGACACAATTTATATTTTTACGTTTACTCTTAGCCTGAACAATTACACCTGCTAATCTATTATACCGTCATCTCTGTATGTAACAGTGATTTAAAAACGTAATTGTAGATGGTATTTTGCTTGCAAGTCAAACCCTACCCACTCCTTGGATGAAATATAATAATAATTGTGTTTTATTTTTAAATTAATACCAAAAATACATACTTTCAACAAGACTGCCCAACCCAAGGAGGTTCTAACCTTCCCCCCCCCCCCCCTCTCCCCTACCCTTGCGTCTTGGAGAAATTATCCTAAAGAAACCCTGTTTTTGTGGAGATATTTGAAAAGTTATTGAAATATAGTAATCTAATTCAGTTTTGATTTTTGACCCCATTAACGCAGTTATAGACATATATATATATATATATATATATATATATATATATATATATATATATATATATATATATATATATATATATATATATATATATATATATATATAAACTAGAAAGATTATACAAAGCTAGTAGAAAAAGAAAAAAAAAGAAAAAAATAATGAGCTTAAATATAGCTTCGTGGACAACGTGTTTGGATGTGTGTGCATGTCTAAAAAGTTGAATCTGATACCCGTGTGAGAAATAAACATTATTTTTTAACAATAGAAACTAGGTCTTTGTTTTCTTACGACATAACATGTAGGTACATTTATAGTGCCATTAGATCAAATTTTAAATCATTCTGTTATCTCATTAGATCAATTTTAAAATTATTTTGTTATCAAAGTAGGTCAGAGTTGAACAGTGTGTCAAAACATTGTCAGCTGCATTTTGTCTTTTTTTTTTTCCCCCACATTGACAGTGTTGTCTGACGTTTATTTTTGTTGAACTTGTTTTAAGTGCGTGTTTTATTTGTTTGTATGTGTTGTGTGCGTGCGTGTATGCGTGTTTTATTTGTTTGCATGCGTTGTGTGCGTGCGTGTATGTGTGTTTTATTTGTTGTTATATGTTATGTGTATGCGTGTTGTATTTGTATGTGTGCGACGTTCGTATGTGAGTCTGCTTGTGTGTTCTCATATGTGTATGTGATTGTGTGTGTATGTGCGGTTGTGTGTGTATGTGTAGTTGTATGTGTTTCAGCCATACTGACCCAGTATCATCCTTATAAGATGAGATTTCTCTACGGTTTAGAGAATGTTGAAACCAGCGTAGATCTGTCGGTCAGTGGTGTATACCTATTTCCTTACACGCTTGAAGCCACCAATGGTGTAGCAAGGCAAACACTAATTTTGTGAAATTAAACGGGCCATTGCCTCCCAACGATAGGACGTGTACCGCCCCCTCCCCCGAACGAACTAGATAAGTTTACAATTCATTTAGAAAATATATTCTCTAATTAGTGTTAGCCTTCTTAACCCCCCCCCCCCTTCCTGGAAATTGTAAGTGCCTTCCCAGCCCCAATTTATTTATACATATTCATACTATTTATATAATTATGTACACGCACCGTCAATCATAGTCACAGATATAAACATTGAAAACAACCCCACCCTCCCCCGAAATACATCGATCACACCCACATTGGGATTTATAAACTGTCAGCATAAACAATGGTAACACAATGGTAACACAAACAGTGGTAACACAAACAGTGGTAATTCCTGAAACGTTTGACAAAACTGTGACTCTCACACAACAGTATCAAAACTCTCAATACACTTTCCGTAGGTACTAATAGCATTGAATTACCTTACCATTCCAAAGATACCAATAGCATTGAATTACCTTACCATTCCACAGATACCAATAGCATTAAAGTACCTTACCATTCCACATATACCAATAGCATTAAAGTACCTTACCATTTCACAGATACCTATAGTACTAGACGTACCTTACCATTCCACAGATACCAATAGCACTAGACGTACCTTACCATTCCACAGATACCAATAGCACTAGACGTACCTTACCATTCCACAGATACCAATAGCACTAGACGTACCTTACCATTCCACAGATACCAATAGCACTAGACGTACCTTAACATTCCACAGATACCAATAGCACTAGACGTACCTTACCATTCCACAGATACCAATAGCACTAGACGTACCTTACCATTCCACAGATACCAATAGCACTAGACGTACCTTACCATTTCACAGATACCTATAGTACTAGACGTACCTTACCATTCCACAGATACCAATAGCACTAGACGTACCTTATCATTCCACAGATACCAATAGCACTAGACGTACCTTACCATTCCACAGATACCAATAGCACTAGACGTACCTTATCATTCCACAGATACCAATAGTACTAGACGTACCTTACCATTCCACAGATACCAATAGCACTAGACTTACCTTAACATTCCACAGATACCCATAGCACTAGACGTACCTTACATTCCACAGATACCAATAGCACTAGACGTACCTTACCATTCCACAGATACCAATAGCATTAGATGGCTCTTACCATTCCACAGATACCCATAGCACTAGACGTACCTTACCATTCCACAGATACCAATAGCACTAGACGTACCTTACCATTCCACAGATACCAATAGCATTAAAGTACCTTACCATTCCACAGATACCAATAGCACTAGACGTACCTTACCATTTCACAGATACCTATAGTACTAGACGTACCTTAACATTCCACAGATACCAATAGCATTAGACATACCTTACCATTCCACAGATACCAATAGCACTAGACGTACCTTACCATTCCACAGATACCAATAGCACTAGACGTACCTTACCATTCCACAGATACCAATAGCACTAGACGTACCTTACCATTCCACAGATACCAATAGCATTAGACATACCTTACCATTCCACAGATACCTATAGCACTAGAAGTACCTTACCATTCCACAGATACCAATAGCATCGAAGTACCTTAGCATTCCACAGATACCAATAGCACTAGACGTACCTTACCATTCCACAGATACCAATAGCATTAAAGTACCTTACCATTCCACAGATACCAATAGCACTAGATGTACCTTACCATTCCACAGATACCAATAGCACTAGACGTACCTTACCACGCCGTGGCCTTTGAACCAATCATCATAAACCATGACGTCATGCATCACATGATCTTATTCGGGTGTGAACAAGAGCAGGAATACATTGTGAGTACTCATGTCATGGACTATCAACATTATCAAGGGTTATCAACATTGCTATGGGGTATCAACATTGTTATTTGCTAGCACCATTGCTGTGGGCTATCAACATTTTCATAGCAGAACAATATTTTCATGAAATATCAATATTAGCATGGGCTATTATAATAGTTTAATAGCATTTTTATGTAATTTAACAAAGTTACATTTATTTAATTTAACATAGTTACATTTGTTTAATTTAACAAAGTTACATTTGTTTAATTTAACAAAGTTACATTGGTTTAATTTAACAAGGTTACATTTGTTTAATTTAACAAAGTTACATTTGTTTCCATACTCTGACCATTAGGCGCCTCACCACTGCGGCCCGGTAGACAATGTGTGCCGGACTTTTCTTGTGCAGTGGTCAATGGGCATCAGGGGTCAGATCTGCTCCTACCCCGGCACGGGGGTCAGGTTCGGTGCTGGGTCCCTCAAGTCATTGTCACTGCAGATACACTGGAATAATGCCAACCAGAGGCCCGGGTTGACTGGTAAGTGGTGGGTGGGTCATGGGTTGACGGGTAAGTGGTGGGTGGGTCATGGGTTGACGGGTAAGTGGTGGGTGGGTCATGGGTTGACGGGTAAGTGGTGGGTGGGTCATGGGTTGACGGGTAAGTGGTGGGTGGGTCATGGGTTGACAGGTAAGTGGTGGGTGGGTCATGGGTTGACGGGTAAGTGGTGGGTGGGTCATGGGTTGACGGGTAAGTGGTGGGTCATGGGTTGACGGGTAAGTGGTGGGTGGGTCATGGGTTGACGGGTAAGTGGTGGGTGGGTCATGGGTAGACGGGTAAGTGGTGGGTCATGGGTCTGGGTTGATGGGTAAGGGGTGGGTGGGTGGGTGGGTCATGGTTCTGGGTTGACGGGTAAGTGGTGGGTCATGGGTCTGGGTTGACGGATGGGTCATTTATAAATGGTTGTATTATTGTACTACCATGTTACTAGCTACCTAAGACAAAGGCCAGTGCTAGCTAACGCGGAGAGGTAGAGTGGGAGACAGAGAGACAGACAAACAGGTAGACAGTCAGACCGATAAGTGGGGGATGAGGCGGAGAGACAGACAATTGAGCGAGCATATAGACAGACAGACAGACAAGTGGGCGGAGAGACAGCTAGACAGAGAGATCGACAGACCTAAATGATAACTCTTTTCATGTTTATAATGTATACACGATCGCTAATTAATAAGTAGTAAGACCTTTAAATCATTTTCCTTCAAGCATGCGTCAAATTCTACCGTGTTCCGTGTTGTATGATTATAACATGACTCTATTCCAGGGGCGGAACTACAGTGCCGCCAGACCCCGCATTGCGGGGGGGCCCACGCCATTTAGGGGCCCATCGCCGACCATAATAAATTCTTTATAGTTAAAAAAAAATAATTTTCTTGCATTTTTGACTTGACGGTAAAAGCTTTTGTAAATAAAAAACAGATCTACTACAGTAGTGATGCTATACAGTAGCTAACACATGCTGTTGCGTTAAAACAAACTATATGCCTGAGCTGTAGTGATAGGCAAACGTTCAGAACACTTCCATGACTTATTTCCCTTTTTTAAATAGTAAAATAGGGGTGCTCATAAGCTCCTATTAATATATTTGTACTAAACAAAAGAAAAAGAAATTACTTTTCTTAGTTATTATTTTAGAAAAAAACATACTAAATAATTACATAGCATAAATTGGAAATATATTTAAAACAAATAATATAAATACAAAAAAACATAAAAATAAACATAACACGAGAAACCATTACACATACAAAGCTTTCATGTTTTATATTCTTTTGACCGGCTAATTACTGTGGGTAGGTAGGATTACAGCAAACATTCAATAAACTAGTTCTAAATATAAAGAAGAAATACAAAACAGACTAACTAAATTGAAAAAAAAGACATTTTTTTTTCAAAACCAGATCGGGCAAGAAATGAGTATTCAGTGTTTGTATTCTGTGTTTGTATATATATATATATATATATATATATATATATATATATATATATATATATATATATATATATATATATATATATATATGAGGGGGGGGGGGGCCCAGAATTTTTTTTTTGCGGGGTGGCCCTTTTTTTCTAGTTCCGCCACTGCTCTATTCCCACAAGATTCTTCCGGAGTTCGAGTGTACTACACCACACGCTTAAAGGAAAACGACCTGGGCAACATCCAAATAGGTCAGAACGACTTAACCATTCAGCCGGGAGTGATTCGAACCCTGGTCACTGGCAGCTGTAGCTCGGCTTGTACAAGGCTGTGGATACAGGAACCCATCTATCTCACTCGTGGCCACATCCACATGCATTATCTAGGTATCATAATTTTTGTATATATTGTTTATGAAGGGGCCTGTGGGTGGGTGAAGGTGGGGGGGGGGGGCCGTTAGATGGCGGCACGCTTTTTAGACAATTTTTTTTTACCTCCCCTCATCTCCGTCACACATTGTCACAAAAAGCAAGAGCCCCTCTACAACCCCCCCCCCCCCTCACAAATTTTAGTTGAATTTTTTAATAAATTTATATTTTTTATATTAAACATTGACATATATTATTGTAAACAATATTTATTAAATTAATAAAACAGTTGTCTAAAATGCGAAATCACGGTTGAAATTCAGTTTCTAACTCAACTTTGTTAAAACGAAGAAGTGTGACGTCATACTATCTAACCCCCCCCCCCCCCCTCCCCCTCATCACACATCATCACAAAATTATAGACACCCTTCATACCTATGAGTGTAAGGTCATTTATAGACAAGCTTACAGACGTTTTCTCTTCAATAAGATTAACATTTAATTATTGAAAAAACTAAGTGGCGATATGTTAATTAGGTGACGGCGGTCGGCTGGAGTTGATCAGGGGCGGGAAAGCAATTCAAGTGGTCATCGACGACATCAGCTTTGATTACCACAGCCCGCCTGCTCATTATTTCGATGATCCCGTGCAAGTTTTGCCAGGTAAGGCATTTTTAAATTTCAAAATGTCTTTAAATTACACCAGTGGCGTCTCAAGGGCGGGTGTCACCTGGTGCGGTAACTGAGGATGTCACCCCACCCACTTCCATTAATTTTGAAATTTTTATTTGTGTAACCCATCTACTATTTTATTATTTTAACTGAATAAAACATAGTTTTGACTGTAAATTTGATTCTTTTTCGTCATTCACACAAAACGGCGTCACTCAATGCGGACCCCCCCCCACACCCTCACGTCCCCGCCAATGTGTTACATTAACCCAGTGGTTCTTAACAAACCTCCCCCCCCCCAGCTTTAAATGCAAATTCACCGAACGCTTCTTAATAGTTATATTGTCCGCACTGACTAAATTCAATAGTGAATCATATGAGTTGGGGGTCGTCCATAAATGACGTCACACTCGTAGGGGGGAGGGGGGGTCCGTAATGTTGAGACGGTGTGTGATGAGGGGGAGGGGGGGGGAGTTCAGATGGTGCGACGTCACACTTTTACATTATAAAAAAGCAATGTTATAAAACGAATTTTAGACGTTATTTTGCGTTTTAGAAAACTGTTTTAATAATTGTAATAGGAATTGATTATAATACTCTATTTCGACAGAGTTCAGACAAGATTTTGGAAAAATATCGATGTTTTTAAGAAAATTCAACTGCAATTTTGAGGGGGGTTGTAGGCAGAGGCGTATCCAGGTTTTCGTTGTAGGGGGAGCGAAATGAACCAAAAAAGGCGCCGAATTTTTAACACGTTCTATTTACGTGTATTATATATATATATATATATATATATATATATATATATATATATATATATATATATATATATATATATATATATATATATATATATATATAATTACTAGCTGCATGTCATACTTCGCTATGATGTAAAATAAATTGCAAGTAGCACTTGAAGAAATAAGAAAAAACACACAATGTAGGCCGACAAAACAAAAATCAATCTAAACAACAAATATATATATATATATATATATATATATATATATATATATATATATATATATATATATATATATATATATATATACACTACAACCAAAAACAATACACGCAACACAATCTGTTTTGTAATTCTTGTAAAAAAAAATTTAACATAACAATTCCTGGGACATTAATTAAGACATACGAAATAGGGGAAATAATCACTCTCTTAGTATAAATTTGAATATATATCTACATATTTAATTATAAGTGTCAAAACAGATCAATAATTACTTTAGAATGTAACAAAGTTTTTTAACAGTATTCGTGTTTACAAAAATGTTTTGTCTACAATCAGAATTAAATATATCGTCATCATAAATGCTAAACTATTACAGCATAATGAACGTTTTTTAAATGAGAGTTGGTATAAAAACACGCTTTAAAACATTTTAGAAAAACATTCGGAATAATAGCTTACATTTATCTACAATACCGGTCTTATAGTTCAGATCATACACCTTTTAATTAACTACTGCTTTTTGTGTTCTTTAAAGATCATTTTTTAACATATTGATCAGGTATGGGTTAGATCACCTTTTTGCTGGTAATTGCAAAAATAATATTCACAGAGTTTTGCCTGTTTCCAAAGCTATGATTCTGGCGGCATGGTAATTTGGTACATCGTTACGCGTTTTCCCAAATGTACTTAACAGATCAGTTCGGGGTGTGTTGGGGGGGGGGGGGGTCAACTTCATTCACCACTGCCGGTCACTTTAGGTCAATTATCCAACCCAGTGTATACCTAGGTGTGACATTAATGTCGCTCTACACAATTGTGGTGGTGAGGTGTGTGAATGGGGGTGGGGTGGGTGGGATAACCAACTCAGCATGAACATAGCGTCAGTTTTTAGATGACTGTTCTAAACATACATATTCAATTACACATATATACTGATTCAGAAATAGATTTAAATAAGTAGCAGTGGTATTATGACAATATTTTTTTACAGGGGGGGGGGGGTCCATGAGGGGGGGGGGGGGTTGTAACTGTTTTATATAATTTGTAATCGTAACCACTATCACCCAAACTGTCAAAATACTACTACTTCATCGTGATGACGTTGTTGACCTTGTCGAAATTTCCACACCACTACGCAGTTTGCCCATAAATAAATTTAAATAGAGGTGCCACATCAGTTGTATTTGTGTCTGTATTGTATTGTTTTAAATTAATTACACTATTAAAACTGTATATATAAAGTAATTATGTGTGAAGATTTATGTATAATATTTTCTAGATCAATTATTCTTAAGCAAATACATTATACAGTTGCCTTAAACTTAACACCCCTCTTGCCAAGTGGTACTACCTGTAGAGGTTTTTTTTAAAATTGTAATGCATCGTAATGGTTATTTTTAGAATGACTAACTTGATACAGCTGTTAATACGTGTTGTAAACGTAGACGCTACTAGACTAGTACAATTCTGCTTAATTGCTGCATGAAAAGAAATCTTGTGATTTACATAGATGTGCAAATTTTTTTTAATTTTTTAACAAAAATCATTGTTTAAAACTTTGAGTTTAAAAAGTTTCCAAAAAGGCGCCACTTTGCTGAAAATGGCCAGAGGGGGAGCGGCCGCTCCCCCTGCTCCCCCCCTGCGTACGCTACTGGTTGTAGGCCGAGGTGTGACGTCATTTTAGGGGGGGGGTCTGGCTTTGTGTGACGGAGAGGAGGGGGAGGGGGAGGTAAAAATCGTCAAAAAAAGCGTGACGTCATTTATGGATGACCCCTTGTGGGTGTGTGTCTTGACCTCCGTCGAACTCCTGAGACTGACTAGCCAAACCCCGGGGGTTCAATCGAACCCAGGTTTAGAACCACTTCACTTCACTAACGTAAGAGTGTATGAAGCACGTGTAAATTTAAAGTCTAAAGCAAGCTTTACGAAGCTTTCTCTACCATGCCATATATTTATACTTTCAGGAGATGAGCTGAAAGTGACGTGTTATTTTAACTCACGTGATGGGGCCAAGGCTAGAAATAGAACAGTTTACTGGGGAGAGGGGTCGGATGTAAGTTTGAACAATAATTTACATTTTGTTTTATTTAGGCGCTTATTAAAATGTTTTTCTTCTGATTTCAAATACTTTATATACTTATGATATAGTATAGAGATCGCAATTATTGTAAAGTGACGACTAGTCTAAAGTTACAGAAGTTGTGAGTTACATTGACAAGTTCCATCCAAATTCCACCTCCCCCTCGCCCCCCCCCCCCCCCCCCCCAACAACAATATAACTTTCCTAGAACCATAATCGATAGGTATCAACTATCAATTAGTTAACTACTGTTAAACATTTATGTAATGCTTATGTTTCTTTCAGGGTGAAATGTGCTACGCTTTTCTCACCTACTTCCCTAAAGTTGACAACTTTGACCAGTGCATACAGTTTGACAAGTACGACATTTGTTCGCCTAGCGGCAGTAAGAAAACATGTTTATGTTGCACATTTCAGTTTTTAGGTGTTTACTAGATACATGCATATTTAAACAGTACTTAAAACAGCGAAAACTCTATGAAACTAATATGTCAATGAGTCCACCCAGCTATGATTCCTACCTGACTCATGTTAGGGAAAGTAAACGCGGCTGGGCATCTCTATATATACCGAGTCACAGAAACAGATGAGCTCTACTTTTTATTACTTTCATCCAGTGTTTCTTTCAGACATTTTCTCATTGGGGGAGAGGGGGGGGGGGGCACATATTTCCGGGGGGGGGGGGGGATGCAATGCCCCGTAAAAGAGCTGAGCTCATCTGCCCTATTGGGTTGGTAAGTAGGTCACCAACCAGTTCTATGGCTCATGCAGGATTTATTGAGCTGTAGAACTGGTTGGTGACCTACTTACCAGCCCTATTGGGAGTCATCCTTAAATGACGTCACGCTTTTCTGGACGATTTTCACCCCCCCCCTCCCCTCTGTCACACGTCGTCACAAAAAGCCAGACCCCCCCTAAAATGACGTCACAACTCAGCCTACAAACCCCCCCCCCCTCAAAATAGCAGTTGAATTTTTTTTTAAACATCGATATTTTTCTAAAATGTTGTCTGAACTCTGTCAAAATAGAGTATTTTCATCAATTCCTATTACAATTTATTAAAACAATTTTCTAAAACGCGAGATAACGTCTAAAATTCGTTTTCTAACATTGCTTTTTTTATAATGCAAAAGTGTGTCGTCGCACCATCTGAACCCCCCCCCCCCTCATCACAAAATTACGGACCCCCATCCCCCCTACGAGTTTGACATCATTTATGGACTACCCCTTGACAGCCAAGTACACTGAACATTTAGACAAGTGTAGGGACTATGTGTCATACCAGTGTTTAACAGTACCATCTAAATGACATTTTATTTTTTAAAAGGGGGTGTTAGGATACTGGTAGTGAATATCAGCTAATACAATATCTCTGCTAACCCTAATAATTGAACCTGATATTACAATACTACTAACACACATAGTCTTTTATTCAGATAATTCAATCAAATTTATTTTTATTTCTTATTTTTAGTTCTATACGTTTTTACAATACGGTTTTTGTATGTTTTATTAATAGAAAACTGTGTGTGTTAAGTCGTTATTTGAAGTTTTGCATGCTGGCATTACAACTAGGTATTAATTAAAAAACAAATAAAAATACTAAACATGGTTTTATTTTTAATAAATAAAAGTCATCACAGTTATTTTTATGTACATAAATTATTTATAAGCTCAGCTATATAAAAATTTCAACATGTTCTTTAGCAGCAATACAGATTTTTATAAAAATCAAATAGAATCATATAAACAAATTAAAAGTTTTATTTTAAATGTAAATATAAATAATCCATACTGAAAATATACCGTACAAGAATAAAGTCATGCAAAAAATGTTATAAGCACAATTTTTTAGATGTTTACACTTTGCCTGTGTTTTACTTTGAGATATTTAAAAATGTTAATCACTTTGTAAAAATAAATCCACAGCTGCTTTGTTAGGTGACTGCAGCTTTGGAGGGTTCCAAAATTACTTCAGTACAGTCATGGCTGATGACATCATCAGAAACTGTGCATCAGGTGGTCAAGTTTATGATCAAACAAAACTCTGCACCATCAACTGCCAGAGAGCTCTTCAGGATTTTAAAGAAAATCCTTGTATGGAGGTAAAAAAAAGTTCTTCTTGAAATTTATTGGTTCAGTAAGATAGGGTTAAGAATATAATAATATACGGTCATGCAGATAAAATATAATCCTTTTAAATTATTAATATGCCAGGTTTTTAACAGTGAAAAGCAATTTTTTAAAATTTAACTGGTGATGGGCAGTATGGTAAATAAAATACTTATGGATTAGTACTTATCAAGATCATTTTATAAAAATAAACAAAACAAAAATTATATATACCTATAATGTTGTTTTAACCTTAAAACAATAGCTGCTTATATGAATGCTGCATTTAAAACAATAGCGGCTTACATGAATGTTCATGAAATAAAAAAATGTTTTTCCATTGTCCACAGGACAGATTAGGCAAATACGCGATCAGAGTCTACCTGTCAGGTGTTCCTACCTGGCCACAGGTAGCTAAAATTTTAGACGCAGCGGAAAAATATTGCTTGGATTAAAAATGTTATGTAGGTTTCTAATAAATACCTAATAATAAAAATTTGATTATTGATGTTATTAAATCGTGGTTAATTGCTTATTTATTAATTGCTTATTTATTAGAATACCAATACAAATATGAAAATAAATGTGTGCTAGAAAAAATAGATTACACATACGTCTGTGTGTGTATTAGTAAATGCCTATGAATTAAAAAATTTTAGTTATCAAAGTGTGTAATACATCTTAGCTAGCAATACGTGATGTGTTGACAAATGATGTCAACTGAGGTGCTGGCGCTACAACCAGCACACAATGCCTTGTTAGGCCTGGCTGACTACAGCTTTAAAGGGACGCCATAGAAGGCACACACCACGCCTTGTACTTGAGAGATGATTGCCCTCAAACATTCCTGCCATTTCTGGCTCTTTATCGTTCCTAGTTTTCTGGAGAAAAATTGTAAAAACAAATATACTTTAATAAAATTTAAATATTTCAAAAAGAAATTTTAATAGATAAAACTTTAGAGTTGTACAAAACATATCTAATTCTACAGGATTAAAGAAAATACTCAATTGTAAAGACAAAGTGCCCAAAAACCTTTACCTTAGTTCGAGGTTATGTTAAATATAGTTTTATAGATAAGAAACAATATACAAATTAGCATGCAGAGTAGGATAGTATTTTAATGAAAGAAAAAAATTTTGAAGTAAAAATTAATTATATATATAGTTAATAATAAGGATAGGCAAATATTTAGCTAGTTCCTAACATAATGAAAAACAGATGAGTACCTGTTGATAAATCTCAGAAGACAAAATAGTTTCTCCATCTGTGTGTTTTGAATCAGTTTCATAAAATATTCAGTGACCATTTCAACATCATCAACACAAGGCTCTATGAAATAAAACAAGAAAGTAAAAATCATTGATAAGATGTGTTAAAATTGATAGTTCATTTTGTTTTTAATTAAGCTTAACAAAAATAGCCAAGTTTATTTAGTGATTTTATATTTCTTTATTGAATCTGTATATTATATCTTTAGTTAAGTACAGAAAAATTCAATTAATTTTTATAAATAAATTGCAATGTGAAGAAGACCCATAATAATTTTTATCTTTGGCATACATTGGCAAGTATACCCATATAAGCCAAAATTTTGCACCCATATAATAAGGTGACATGGTATATAATAATTAAACTTAGTTGAAGGATTCTAGAACTAAGTTCAGGTAAACAAAATTATATTTAAACTTCTTTGAATGATTCTGACAAAATTAGTGTCTCTAAATCATGACTAACTAATGAAACTTAAAAATTGTAAGATAATAGTCTTCCAAAGATTTGTACAGGAACTAGATAACACAACATGTTTGTCTCCCTAGAGGTAAAGCCTTAGTGCCTTCAATTTCTCACATGCTTCAGAATCTACTATGAAGTTATTATCACGTTAGCATTTAATGGAAACAATTATATCTAATTTAAAAAAATTGTAGAAAATGTTTCAAAAGTTTTACCTGGGCTGGAGGTTAGCCATTCCTTCAACAACTTTCTGACGTCATCAAGCATTGAAGCATGACACAGTGTAGCCTCCTCACTGACTTCACGCACTGCCTCAGCTGCACATTGGTGCAGAAATAACATTCATTAAAATTTACACTTCTTTACAAGTGCCTAAGTATGTTAGTTAACTTCCCAAGACAAAAGTTACTGGCCATGAAAAAAATTACTTCACATGAAAAAAGTTGCTTCCCATGATAAAAGTAACCTCCCTTGATATAAATTACTGTACATTTTTTTTTTTAATTTGACATCCATTAAAAATGTGACTTATTGTATTTTATAAAAGATTTTATGAGTTTCTTACCATTTGGTTGAGCTTGTGCTGCATCTTTCTAGAAACAAAATTATTTTTTTTTTAAAAACAATTGGTTGAAATTCAGATTTAAGTTTCTAGGTTGAGACTAAGGTATATAAAATATGGTAGTTAAAATGTTTGTTCACATCTGTTAGGTGTGTTAACAGGTCAATGCCTTTGAGGACAAAACTTTGCTTGTTGAATTAAAGCTTATTTTTTTAAATGTAGCAAATTTAAATAATTGCTTAGGAGACCTACTGGGGTAACCTTTGGGACATGAACTTGTGAATCTTCAGCGATTCTTTTAACTGGGCTCCTCTGTTTCCTTTTGGCTGGACTTTTTTGTTTCTTCTTCCCTGGGCTACTGGACTTGCCTTTTTTAGAACCCCTGAGAATTGGTTTGACAATGGACTTTGTGGGAGATTTAAATATTTTCTGATGAGAGAGGAAACCGTTAGTTGACAACTGAGCAAAATTATTTCGTCATGGTTAAAATAAATTGTACGTAATAACAAAATTTTAGTTAGTAATGGTAATAAAAGTACAGCAACATACACATCAACAGATCAGGCCTTCTCAATACAATGTGTACATTCTCATGATGCACAAAGATCCGTCGCATGTAAACGTTTCTTACAAATCACATCACCACACTTTACTTCTGATATTTGGTTCATAATTTTAAATTTACCTGAGCTGCCTGTTTGTTGGCATCTTGCCTGGCATATTCACCTCGCAGTTCATTTTGTAAGTTTAAAGGGAGAGCACTAAAACAATCCATATCAAGCTGAAAATTAAAAATAAAAATTATGAGATAATAAAGAATTCAAAATTTATAAATAAATGTCACTACTTTTGTCTTAACAGAATAACAACAAAAAATTGTGATAAATGCAAAAAAAAAAGGACATTTGATATTTTTAATTATCAGACAGACCTGAGATAAAGAAGGCAAGACACCAGTATTTATATCATCTTGATGAAATCTATTATTTGATTGGCCAGGCCTATTGTCAACTGTATTATCATTGGTAGAATCTGCTCTTAACTTGGCTTTAATCAATCTCTGCTGTTTTCTTGACCTTATGTCTTCAAGAATTTCCTGAGCTATTTCACTGGGTAGCTCCTGTAGGACATCAGTATCAATCTAGAAAAATAAAAATAATTAAATTTAGATTAAAATAGTAAACTGCATTTTTTAATCACATTTTTTTAGTGTGGGTCAATAAAATTGAGTTTTTCTAAATAGGATTTTAACTTTATTGTAATTTGGACACACAAAATGATGAGTAATAGACAAAAAGCTACTCAGAAATATTTATTATAAATACATAATTTCTGCTTTTTAAACTGAAATGTCAAAACTGATTATTGAAATTTATTTTTTATCGGTTAATAATTAGCTATATTTAATGGTTAGATTTGAATACTTAATAATTATATAGTAGTATTATAACAAGCATAAATTTGTATTTTTTGACAAGTTAAATATAAAAATGGTAACTATAAAAATTGATAATTATAAAAATTTTCTTTAAAGACTAACCTGCGATTCAGATAGAAAATAAACATTATCATCATCTGCTGAATCTCTTCTTGAACTAGGGCCTGCTACAGGTTCCCTGCTGAGGCCTGCCACAGGTTCCCTGCTGGGGCCTGCCACAGGTTCCCTGCTGGGGCCTGCCACAGGTTCCCTGCTGGGGCCTGCCACAGGTTCCCTGCTGGGGCCTGCCACAGGTTCCCTGCTGGGGCCTGCCACAGGTTCCCTGCTGGGGCCTGCCACAGGTTCCCTGCTGGGGCCTGCCACAGGTTCCCTGCTTGGACCTGCCACAGGTTCCCTGCTGGGGCCTGCCACAGGTTCCCTGCTGGGGCCTGCCACAGGTTCCCTGCTGGGGCCTGCCACAGGTTCCCTGCTGGGGCCTGCCACAGGTTCCCTGCTTGGACCTGCCACAGGTTCCCTGCTGGGGCCTGCCACAGGTTCCCTGCTGGGGCCTGCCACAGGTTCCCTGCTGGGGCCTGCCACAGGTTCCCTACTTGGACCAGCTACAGGTTCCCTGCTGGGGCCTGCCATAGGTAGGGGCTGCCAACTATTAGATCCGGCCTCTATATGTTTACTTGTTTGTTGTTTATCTAAAACATTTACATCCATTTGATTATCTTTAGCTGAAGTACTGAGATCCTGATTTGGATTTTTAATCTCAGTATAGTTTTTATGAGTTGAAGAGTTACTAGTTTTAGGAGTGATCTCCCCATGATGGGCTAAGAAAGATAATTTTGTATTTGAATTACTTCCATTTAGGGCAGAGGTGGGAGTGGATGTTCTTGGCACTGCTTTTGAATTTTCCATTGCAAAATTGAGGATGGTTTGTTGTTTGCTCCCTTGAACATTGCTGCGTCTGCTACCATATTTGGATGACCTTTCACCTCCAGGTCTGGTGTCTTCTAGCTTGGTTATCTGAATACCAATCTAATGGGGAAAATTAATTAAAAGATTTTTTCAAACATTACTATAACATCACATTTAAAGGTTTTTTTTTAGATTTCTGAATGAATAACTGTTCATATAAAAAAATCTGACACTTACCCCCCTCACATCAGCAGGGTTAACTCTGTGTGCACGATATAATGAAATTACCTCCCTAACAATTTGTTGGGCATCATTTGTTGCTACAGGGAGGCAACTGGATTTATTAAATGTATTACATATTCCATGCCCTGAAGTGATATAAAAAATATTTCAAATAAATATTGATATCAGAATATCTATATATATAATTCTCTTCATGGGGACCATAGAAGACACTACGTAGCTTAGCCACCACCCTCATCCCCACCTGTCAGGTGAGCTGTGGTTCACCCCGAATGTTTACAATAGTAGAAGTGGTTTAAATAAGTGACGGTTGTTAGGGGCAGATAATTTAGTTTTTAAACAATTTGAAACTAAGAGAGATAATAAGTTCTGCTTGATATTTTCATTGTCGTCTGTAAACGGCTGCTTTCACTGGGATTGGTGGGGTGGGAGGGGGGGGGGGCAAGGGGGTGGGGTAGTGTCGAATTCCCAAATTATGAATTGTTGATAAGTAGAAAGTACAACTACTAGATAGCGGCGTACGCTACGTCGCGGGTCGGCTTGTATATAAATAAATTATGTATATTAAATATAATTTTTAAATCTTTTAACATTAGCATAAATTAATTATACCCATAAACTTGGCAGTCTCTTGGGGTGCATCTGGACGTCTGACCATCAGTTTGAGTACAATACTTCGACCTTTGACATGTATAGCATCTAATCGCCTTTTGACTTCTTCTGAAAGCTCCTCTAAGAATTTGAGAACCTCAGACTCCTGTTAACAAAATTATTTTCACAAAAGTTACAAAAGGTGAATGGCACAGTTCACAAACCCCAGCAGGTAAGTCAAATAAAAAAAGATTTTTCAGGGTTAAAACTCCCGATCATTCTGTTGTGGAAAATGAAACTGCCAATTGATAGTGTAATGTTATTTCTGGACTTTTAAGAATGTCCACTCTTTACAGGTCTACAATTATGACTATTTAATTGTCTTTAATTCTGTCCCTGAGTTAACTCAGCTCTGATGGGTACCTGACTCATGTTAGTGTCATTAAATGTGGTTGGGCATAGAACTATCCATAACTGACCACACTATCCAAGGTCACAGAAACAGGTGAACTCTACTTCATCTGCCCTATTGACCATCTGGTTCAAAACTGTAAACTTTTTAAAAAAAATAAACTATTAAAATAAATGAGTAACTATGAAGAGACATCTAGACCTTGGTAAAGACAAATGAGTAACTATGAAGAGACATCTGAAGCTGTAACCTTTTACATAAACTACTGTAACAATGAGTAACTATGAAAAGACATCTGAAACTGTAACTTTTTTACATAAACAACAGTAGCAAATAAGTAACTATGAAGAGACATCTAGACCTTGGTAAAGACAAATGAGTAACTATGAAGAGACCTTGGTAAAGACAAATGAGTAACTATGAAGAGACATCTAGACCTTGGTAAAGCGGATCCCATAGTTGACATCAGCAGACACAGATTTCCTCTGCTTGTCTCCCCTTATGACCCGGTTATCTTGACCCAGGCTGTAGTTGTGCAGGGACTGGCCAGTTTTTGGGCCAAACTCACGGCACAGGGTGGACACTGGGATAGCCTGTAACTGACCACATGTCTCCACTGATAGCTTGGACAGTTTTTGTGCCATTGAGTAGCCAACACCTTTACAAAAAGTAACAAGTGATATTAATATATCATGTTTTATTTAAATACACAAAATTCTAGTATAGGTTAATGATTTATTTGACAAATGGGCAGTGGTAATCAGACTTATATTAGCTAGTAATATAGTGCCCCATTGCTAGTGAAATAATAAGATTTTGATTCCATCAAAGAAAATTACTGCAAAACTAAGCCTTGTGAGGTTGATGTTGAAATAGTTTACTGAAACAGTTACCCGAAATTAGAAAAACAAAATGCATCCAGAAACGAGATTATTGTTTTATTAAATTCAAATAACGTTCACACTATAATCTGTTTTAAACATGCAGATTGTAAAATAATTTAAGAGACTGAAATATTAATGAAATAATAATTTTAAAAGTTGCAAGAAAGTTGTGTTAGTGAACAACAACATTTTCAGCAACAATCTTGACTCCTACCTGGCAGATTTCTCACTGGCTGGTCTTTGATGAAATCCTTTGCCTCAGTGACTGAGACTTGATATTGCCCATTTGGCTTAGCTTTTCTTGTAGCCAGCCTGGCCAACAGGATATTAGGACCTAAAAACAAATTGATCACTTGTTTACAAACAAAAACTAATAACTAAATAAATAGAAAATAATAATTACAATAATAAAAATAATAAAAAATAGATACCATATATATACATATATATATATATATATATATATATATATATATATATATATATATATATATATATATATATATATATATATATATATATATATATATATATATATATATATATATATATATATATAGGCCTATATATGAATTATTACTCATTATATATTAATTATCCTTTTAAACAAGGACAAACCCAAATAGTTATGTATCAAAGAGAAAAATATGTCTACCTAAGCCTACATATAAAGACAGTGACATGTTGACCCACCTATGCCCACAGAAGCTGGGCAGCTGGTTCTGTCCATCATGTCTGCCCTCAACACAGCAGCAAACTCCATGGCTGTGGCTCCTGTGTCTGTCAACACATCTGTGCAGTCTATGAACATCTCATCACAGCTAACAGCCTCTATGTCGTGTGTGTAGCTGAGACAGAAAGCATTAGTACAACTCAATACGTTTGTCTTCTGAGAAACAAGACATGGAGCATTAGTACAACTCAATATGTTTGTCTTCTGAGAAACAAGACATGGAGCATTAGTACAACTCAATACGTTTGTCTTCTGAGAAACAAGACATGGAGCATTAGTACAACTCAATACGTTTTTCTTCTGAGAAACAAGACATGGAGCATTAGTACAACTCAATACGTTTGTCTTCTGAGAAACAAGACATGGAGCATTAGTACAACTCAATATGTTTGTCTTCTGAGAAACAAGACATGGAGCATTAGTACAACTCAATACGTTTGTCTTCTGAGAAACAAGACATGGAGCATTAGTACAACTCAATATGTTTGTCTTCTGAGAAACAAGACATGGAGCATTAGTACAACTCAATATGTTTGTCTTCTGAGAAACAAGACATGGAGCATTAGTACAACTCAATACGTTTGTCTTCTGAGAAACAAGACATGGAGCATTAGTACAACTCAATATGTTTGTCTTCTGAGAAACAAGACATGGAGCATTAGTACAACTCAATACGTTTGTCTTCTGAGAAACAAGACATGGAGCATTAGTACAACTCAATACGTTTGTCTTCTGAGAAACAAGACATGGAGCATTAGTACAACTCAATATGTTTGTCTTAACTGGATTTAGCTTTATATTTGTTTAGTTAAGACATGAGCATTAGTACAACTCAATATGTTTGTCTTAACTGGATTTAGCTTTATATTTGTTTAGTTAAGACATGAGCATTAGTACAACTCAATATGTTTGTCTTAGTGGATTTATATGTATATTTGTTTAGTTAAGACATGAGCATTAGTACAACTCAATATGTTTGTCTTAACTGGATTTAGCTGTATATTTGTTTAGTTAAGACATGAGCATTAGTACAACTCAATATGTTTGTCTTAGTGGATTTATATGTATATTTGTTTAGTTAAGACATGAGCATTAGTACAACTCAATATGTTTGTCTTAGTGGATTTATATGTATATTTGTTTAGTTAAGACATGAGCATTAGTACAACTCTATATGTCGTGTGTGTAGCTGAGACACAAGACATGGAGCATTAGCACAACTCATTACGTTTGTCTTAAGTGGATTTATATGTATATTTGTTTAGTTATTTGGTATCCAACTAGAAGAAATGTTAGGATTCTGTATTACCAAGCATATGGATAAATCACCCAAAAATGAGATTTACTTGACTAGAGGTCTAAATACCTAGTGTATGGTGTATGTAGCCAGAGACCAAATAACCTGGTGTATATTTAACTTACTTGCTAAAGGCCTAATTAGCCGGCATGTAGTTAGATTACCTGATGTAAGGCTAAATTACCCAACCATAGACCAAAAATAACCTGTTGTTTGCTAAATTACTTGGTAAAGGCTAAATTACTTGGTAAAGGCTAAATTACTTGGTAAAGGCTAAATTACTTGGTAAAGGCTAAATTATTTGGTAAAGGCTAAATAACTTGGTAAAGGCCAAATTAGCTGGCATGTAGATAGATTACCTGGCAACTACATCATAAAGGATCCTAGAGATTCTGTTGTACTCCTCAAAATTGTAATGAATCGTCTTCAGGTTGGGACAAAGTTTTAGAGCTTGACCCATAAACATTCCATTTTTAACACCAGCCTGAAGAGAAATATTTTGTTGTTAAAAATATATTCAAACTATTTAAAAAAAAAAACTATTATTACTTTTTTCTTAGAAATCTATTAGCACTATAATAGTGCTCTTAAATTGTTATAAAAGTATTTAGCTGGTCAACTTCGATTGTTTTGAAGAACAAACTATACAATATAAACAAATAAATGCATGAGGATTAGAAAGGAGTCCATTAAATGAAGTGTGAACAGACTACATGTTGCATATGTGAAAAGACTACATGTTGCATATGTGAACAGACTACATGTTGCATATGTGAACAGGCTACATGTTGCATATGTGAACAGGCTACATGTTGCATATGTGAACAAACCTTTCTAGCCTCATAGCTACAGGATGCTATTTCTGCCAAAAAGTGGAAGGTTTGTGTGAACAGACTACATGTTGCATATGTGAACAGACTACATGTTGCATATGTGAACAGACTACATGAGGCAGATGTGAACTAACCTTTCTAGCCTCGTAGCTACAGGATGCTATCTCTGCCATGGAGTGGAAGGTTTGTGCACCAGTTGACCCTGCAGGTACAAGGTGATCATAACCTCTCTGCTCATCCTGGTCCTCTTGTAGAACTGGGAGATGAGCAAACAAAATTAATTTGACACCAAAATATTACAACTAGTATCGCATATAACTGGGAGATGAGCAAACAAAATTAATTTGACACCAAAATATTACAACAGTTACTAGCATCGCATATAACTGGGAGATGAGCAAACAAAATTAATTTGATACCAAAATATTACAACAGTTACTAGCATCGCATATAACTGGGAGATGAGCAAACAAAATTAATTTGACATCAAAATATTACAACTAGTATCGCAAATAACTGGGAGATGAGCAAAATAATTAATTTGATACCAAAATATTACAACTAGTATCGCATATAACTGAGAGATGAGCAAACAAAATTAATTTGACACCAAAATATTACAACTAGTATCGCATATAACTGGGAGATGAGCAAACAAAATTAATTTGACACCAAAATATTACAACTAGTATCGCATATAACTGGGAGATGAGCAAACAAAATTAATTTGACACCAAAATATTACAACTAGTATCGCATATAACTGGGAGATGAGCAAACAAAATTAATTTGACACCAAAATATTACAACTAGTATCACATATAACTGGGAGATGAGCCAACAAAATTAATTTGACACCAAAATATTACAACTAGTATCGCAAATAACTTGGAGATGAGCCAACAAAATTAATTTGACACCAAAATATTACAACTAGTATCGCAAATAACTTGGAGATGAGCCAACAAAATTAATTTGACACCAAAATATTACAACTAGTATCGCAAATAACTTGGAGATGAGCCAACAAAATTAATTTGACACCAAAATATTACAACTAGTATCGCAAATAACTTGGAGATGAGCAAAATAATTAATTTGATGCTAAAATCTCACAACTGGCCTCCAGTCAAGTCCAAACAGTAAGACATTTAACAATTAAAATCATATTTGAAATTGTAAGAAAATTTTTCTTTATTTTATTCAGTTAAAATACATTCAAAATCTAAGAATTTTATAGCTGCTTTGCAAAACAACAATATTAGTTCTAAACAGTAAAATATTTCCTAAGTTAAGTTTCAGAAAATTCTTCACGAACAAATAGTTTCTATTTTTTTCTTTATGACATAGACTGTAAAGAATCAAAATATTGTAACATACTGAATAGTCACTGTTGAATGCATTTATCATATTTTAAAGAGTAATTGTTCCTTTTTTAATCCCACATTTTTCCTAATCTTAAAACAAAAACAATATATTTTCCAAAACTTTCCATTAGATGAAATGTACACAACAAAAGTAGTAAGTAACTTACACTCCTCAGTTGAATCCATCATTTTGGTAGATTCACTTCTTTTATCTCTGTCAGTCTTCAAATTTTTGTCACGTAACTTCTGCCACTCCACTTTTTCCCAGGCTAGGTTGGAGCCAGACGTAGGGTTAGCTCCCCTGCCCTTTGAATGGGTCACAGCCACTGGTTGTCCTAATTCACACATTTAAATTGTCATCATTTGAAGTCATTATTTTTTTAAATTATATTTTATAGTATCAGTTAATTTAAAGAGAAATTTTTAAATTAAAAGCAGTTTTTCTATACTAAAACACATTCTGAAATTTGCTCATAAATGTATCAAGTATCCCGTTCACTACATAATTGCAGATAAAGTTTATGAGCTCCATTGCAAGATACGTTGAGCAAAGGTGTGGTCAGATGGTAAAATTTTCAACTGCTCAGTTTAAAGTCTAGACTTCAAATAACAGGTTTGAGTCCACCCAACTCTGATGGGTACCTGACTTATGTTATAAGAACAAAGGTGTGTGGGCATAGTGCTGACCACACTAACCCTCACATGTCAAGGTCATTGATAAATGAATTATTTTTTATCTATCCCATGTGTCTTTAGTACGAATGGGAAAAGATGATGTTTGCAAGATCCAAGAAAATATGGGTAAAGAAATTGCTTAAAATATATTAATATTTGTTAATAATTATCTGACAAATTTTTTTTTAAAATTACAATAAATGGTATTACTACTCTACGAAAGCAACAAAAAACAACAACTTTATTCACCTCTTAGATCAGGCCTGGTTAGGAGACCCACAGAAACAAAAAATGAATCCATGTCAATGTGCATGATGGTTCTCTCCGCTATCCCATGATGCCCTGAGACAGGTGTGGATGTTATCCCCGCGTGGATGGAATTCTCCACATGGGTGCGCCTCAGTTTTTCTCTGCCAGGGAACGAACAATGTTCTGACTGCTGGATCTCTGAGACGTAAGCTTTTAATTCAGCGCCCCATTTGGAAATGTGGTGCAGTCTTGAGTTGGAGTAGAATTCATTTAGAAAGTTTGCCTGGCCTGCCCTTGGCATGGAAGGTTTGTGGTGAGTTTCTCCCCTTTCTGTTGTTTTTGTAGCATGTTTATTGGCTGCATTAGCTGTGTGACTTGGTGAATCTGTAGCCCTAACTTGTGAAGTAGATGCACTGACCACAGGAGGCAGATCAAAAATAGGTAAAGTTGTACTTACATTTGTTTTATTTGGTGATGTTTCTGATAATGTTTTATCACTGGATGTTAAAAGTTGATTTGTTAGCGACGATGTTGAAGGAGTTACCTGTGATTTTGGTGTAAGTTTATCATGAGTGACTTCAAAACTAGAAGTATTTTGTTTCACTGCTAAACTGGCATTACTCATGGAAACTCCTACAGGAAATAATTTATCTTTACCAGCTAAATCGAATCCCTCACATGGCTCAAGCTTAGAGGTGTCTATAAAACCATCACAACTATTTGAATCAATCACGTTCGGAACATCAAAACTTCCAGAATTAGATTTCCTAAATTTTCTCAATCTGTAAATACGAGATTTTTTTCTCTGTTGGTTTTCCCTTCGGCTGAACTCCATGAGAGAACACGCAGTGTTTTCGTCATCAGAATTATAAACTATTTCATCATCAGAATTATAAACTATTTCATTGTCAACATCACTGGGTTCAGTTTTACAAGAATTTTCTTCTATAGAAGGAAAACCTATCACTTCACGTGCCTCGTTTTTGGAAACAATTTCTTCTACGAAAGGTATTCCATTCTTTTCTTCACATACCAAATCAGCAATTTCACTGTTACAGTTGTTGTTCAGAGGGTCAAATGGTGATGGCTGACTAGCTTTAATCTGTGGCATGTAATCTGGTTCAGTTATACTCTTTCTGCTTTGTTCAACTGCCGCAATTAATGATGGTTTAAGTTGAGGACTTTGTAACGAACTTGATGACACTTCTTTCCTATCCATATTTAATTTGGTGTATGGGTTCAGCAGCAGGTAGGGGACATGAGAGAGACGCTTTCCTGCTTTAACACTACAAGGGGCAGAAAACAAAGGCGTTTTAAAATATGGTCAAATATTTAAACCAGTAGGGCAGGAAAGTGAAATGTTTTAAAGTGTGGTTAAAATATTTAATCACATAGGGCAGAAAACAAAAAAATTACATTTTAAACTGTGTTTAAACAATTATTTATTCTTAAGAGCCTAATGGTTCTCAATCTAAGGATACACAGAGTACTACCACTATCTAGGCCTATAGATCTTTACACAACAAAATATTTAGACTTCAATATTGAAATTTTTAGGAAAAATTAAGTGATTTTGAAAATACAAAGACTAGAACCTATTTTCTAAAAATCAACAGCTAATTTCTAATTTTTTTAATATAAAAATAAAAAAAGACTTGAAATGACCTGTCTACAATCCAGTTTGGTTTGACAACAAGCATTGTATTTGCCAGTTTGAATTTACTGTTTGGAAGGTTGCTGGCGACAATGTGGGTGACCCTGGTCTTGCTGAGATACTGTTCAAATCTGCCGCCATGGTGCTGCATCAGACGCTTCAGCTCATCAGACGACGGCACTTGCAGAATTTAAGCAGACAGACATGGGACTTTTTAGACCATGACATTTTAAATGACATGAGATTTTTTTACATGTGACTTGTAAAACATACTACTTTAAATGATATGTGACATGTTAAACCATCACATTTTAATTAAATGATATGTGACTTTTTAAAACCTCAAATTTAAAATGAACTGTGACGTCTTACATTTATTTTAAACTAACATTATATAGCAAATCAAATATTATTTCAAATACTTAGGACAAGATTTTTTTTGTAATAAAAATGTAATGATTGCATACCTGTATAGCCATTTACATAAATGGCCACTCCAGCAAATATGTTTGAACTTTGTCCATTTTTATCTACATTAATATCAAATTGGTCATTCAACTTCTGTCTCTTAGCTTGCATGTAGCTTCTCTGGTAGTGATTGAAATGGAAAAACCATCAATAAAAATCTTAGCCAGCTTAATTTTTAATAGCAAAAGTTATGCTGATCAAAACTAAGTTTATGGATTTGTAAAGCCACTTTATTTTATTCATGTAATTAGTGAGAAATATTTTCACAACTACAAAAATAATTTAAAAAAAAAAAATGGAGTATTGGTATTACTGATGTTCTACTCTTGCAAGAATAGACGTATTAGGTTGTTAGTCATATTTTAATCTCAAATTTAGAGTTTTAGTTTATTATGGTCAGAAATTTGGGTTAGGGCTATAATTGGACTTGGGTTAAGGATAGCAAGTCATTATGTATTTATTTACTACTAGTAAAGTAATCTAACACCCCTTTTTAAGAAAGATTATATTATTATGGTATTATCTGATACTGTATAACATATACCAAAATAATCATTTGTTACGTAAAATATGATAGAAATAAAATATGTACAAATCCTGCCCAGCCATCCTCAACTTGATTTTTTTTTTCTTTACGAGCCCGTTTGTTTAAGCCCGATGTTTGTTTTGTAGTTGATGATGTGCTCGATGCCATCCCTTAAGCGTGGTCAATCTAAAATAATTGAAAAAAATTTAAGTTATAATAAAGTACTAATCTTGACCTAAGTAATAGTCAATAAAACTAGTCCTAATGATGTAAAGTTTTTGTCTGCCTCTTTGGTCAAATAAATTATAATGAACAGATAGAATAAAACTGTTCTTTTACTTTCTAGATTCTATCATTTGAGCACTTAAGTAAACAGAAATAACATCTGATTAAATGTTTGATGAGATATTATTAAGTTAGGCCTATAGTCACATAGTGTAATATTTTTTAAATAGTTTTGTCAGTTTGAAATTAATAATTTAATGAGTTTAACAATTAAGAGATCTAATTTATTATTAACTGCTAATCATTCATTAGGCCTAAATTAATATTTAGGATAATCTATCGTTTTGGGTACGTAAAATTGCCCGCGGCTATTAATGTACGATAACGTTACCTCATTGTCAAGGCTGTAATATAAGTATATTGTGATATGTTTGTGTCAAATATTATAGATAAATGAATAATAAACCTAAATCAATGGCTAAATATATCAATACAGGCCAGAAATTAACTTTAAACAGTGACTACCCCCTGAATCTCGCGCTTTAAGTCTATAAAAATAAAACTTTAACAAGATGGCTGCTATAGTAAATGAGCATGCTTGCATCTGTTGAAAACATCGCTAGTCTTCATTTATTACTGAAAAGTTTTAATTCAATTGTTTAAAAACAGGTACATAAATGAAACAAGGAAACATTTATGTATTTTTCAAAACATAAATCCTCCTCAAAATGTGAAATAATTATTAAAATGGGAGAAGTCACCTGTTTTTCACATTACTATTCACATTAATTATTAGTGTTGAAGGGGATCGAGATTTATCTGCCAGTGGGTTTGAACTCGAGACTTTGTTCGAATTTATCAACCATGAGCTTTTTGCCGACTCGACCACACCTCCAACACAATTAAGCGTTACGTGTCAACTGGTTATGCGCCATTGAGGCCATTGACTCCGATTTCAGCCTGCTTTTCTTTTTGGATTTGCTTCCATAGCCTTTGTCCAACCAAGAACAAACTACAAGGCAGCAGTTGTTTAATTTTGGAGTTGTCTCTCCTAGAAGAGTGGCTGTCCCCAGCTAACGAGCCTCATCTGCCCGAGGGTTCGAACTCGAGACTTTCCGGTTTAGCAACCATGAGCTTTTACCGACTCGACCACTGACCCCCACGATAGATTACAATATTTAGTATTATAAATTAATAGAAATCATGATCCTTGATTTGATTAACAAATTTACTTAGGTAGGATCTAATAGGCTATATTCGCTTTAATAAGTAATACATTTCATTAGACTATATTTTCTTAAATTTATGCATCAACTTTAACTCTACGGCCTACCTCAGCCATTTAATGCTGAACAAACGCGAACGCCCACTGCTCGAAGATTTCAAGATACTCTCACTCAACTTTCAAGATACTCTGAGTCTTGATACAACGCTAAACAAATTCAACATCTCAGTAATATAATTGGATCTATTCGCATTCTATTCGGTAACATTTAGTCTACGAACAGTTTTCTTTTATCTGAAAATATGTTAATTCTTGCCGTAGCACGTAGGTATTGCTGAACTTTTCATTGTGCCTAGTTTTAGATGTTATCGATATTTAAATAGACATTTATCATTACAGTGTACTTTTATTGTTTATAAATATTTCTAAAAGTGTGATTCTGTTTAAAAAGCAAAACAAAATCTAATTTAAAATAATTTTGTAAAACAAAATGTTGTTTAAAACTTAGTATATTAAGGTTAAATAACGATTATTAACTATTAAGTAACTTTTATGTTCACGCATTATGTCTCCACCTATTTGTTGTACCGTATAAAAAAATCTCGTTAGGGATGGAGCAGTGTTTCTTTCAGAAATACTTCTCCGAAGGCACTTGATTCTTTCTGGAGGAGTGCTTACATCTCCAGGGGTGCCGGGTGGTGGTCGGACACTGATTATTTATATATTCTATTATAATTATTTATTTTTCTGTTCTGTTTGGGCGGTGGGGGGGGGGGAGAGATAAAGGCTTATATATATATATATAGGCCTATACATATATATATATACGTATATATATATATATATGTATATATATATGTATATGTATATGTATATATATATATATGTATATATATATATATATATATATATATATATATATATATATATATATATATGTATACGTATATATATATATATATATATATATATATATATATATATATATATATATATATATATATATATATATATATATATATATATATATGTATATATCAGAGGCGTAGCGACCCTTCCCGGCCGGCGTCCGGGGACAAACTTTTCGATTTGCACCCCCCCCCCCTAAAGATTTCAATTTTCACCCCCCCCCCCTCAACCTTTCAATTTATTTTCCAACCCATTTTGGCGCCCCCTTAATTTTGGTGCCGTTACTGTGATGATACAAATAAATCTTATCTTCTTCATAAATATGGTGGTGGAAATTTTTTAAATTAAAAGCATTGAACGTTTTTTGTTGTAATTCTCGTTTTTTTCCCTTTTATATTGAATACTTTCTAATAAAATAAATGAAACACTATTTTAAAAAAATCTTAATCTTAATGAAAATATCAACTTGACATGTTTTGTCTTTTTTTAAATTAAAGTAACATACTTTTACCTTTTTACAGTGTATTTATATTTTAACTACGTCGTTGGTTGGGAGTTATAGCTGATGTCCAAATATTTATTTCAGCTATTTAAAGGGAGATGACTATGGATTCTTTTTATGTAACTTTTAATTTAATGGCTATTTCCCGTATATGCTTTCATATTTATCATGTTGCCTTACTTCTGAAAACTCCTTAGAAATTCCCACGTATAAAACCTTCAACGACCAACAGTTAAAATATTCCTATTTTTACGTTGGTTGTTGACTTTTTATCCTACTTTCTGCTGGTTGTTTATTCTGATTATCTCCCTTGGTTGTATCTTTCATCACTCAATGGGGTTTGTTTTAACCGTTTTGGCTAGTGCGTTTCTCATCATATTTTGTTGGTGTAAATTAAAGGCTCTACAGTAAATACATTGTATTATAGACGCTTGATCTTTGCACCTAGTCAATAATCAAATAATATTTTCTGGTCGTGCTAAAGGCTAAACGAGGCAGATGAAGTAGAGTACATCTCTTTCAATAACCTTTGACATACTGTAGCTAGAGTGGTCAGCACTATGCCCAGACGCCTCTCCTCTCCCTAACGTGAGTCAGGTACCTACCAGAACTGGGTGGACGTAAGGGACGCCCGAGGGTCTCGAGCTCAGGACTCGAACTCGGGACTTAAGCTCTACCACTCGACTACGCTGCTACCTATCTGGTCAACGGTTGGGCTACTGTTTGTATAACTTAATGTACGAAGCGATATGTTGTCTATGTAATCAAGAATGGGAGAAAATGGACTGCTTTCTTCTTCGTTCTTAATTTTAGTGTAGGAAGGTGTCCCCTTCAATACAATTAAGTATACGTGTCAACTGGTTATGCGCCGTTGACTCTGATTTCAGCCTGCTTTTCTTTTTTGATTTGTTTCCATAGCCTTTGTCCAACCAAGAACAAACTACAAGGCAGCAGATGTTTGATTTTGGAGTTGTCTCTCCTAGAAGAGTGGCTGTCCCCAGCTAACGAGCCTCATCTGCCCGGGGGTTCGAGCAAGAGAATTTCCAGTTTAGCAACCATGAGCTTTACCGACTCGACCACATACGGGCTAATCGATAACATATCTAACTGCTGATTTACCAGGTGATAGGTCACAACTATGTGATCGAATCCAGACTCTCCATCGTGTTGTAAAATGCTCAAAAGACATAGCGGCACGTGTTCTAAAATTAGATACGAGCATCGACAAAAGGACGTGCTGAAATGCAGGTAAAGAGGTGCAGCCGTGCGTTCAGTGAACGGAACGTTACAACGTTACAGCAACTTGAATGACAAAGTTTTAACTTTTTACTTTAAGTACGTTTCTTTTGAAACGTGCGCCGACGTCCGGGAAAACATCACCGTCAATGGCGATCTCGCACAGGAAGCACGGGTCGAATCACAACGAAGGTCGTCGTCCTATCGCCCCCCCCCCCCCTCCCCCTCCTTTCGTCGGCCCTGGCCTACATTGTGGTTTGAATGTGGTTTATCAAAGGGATGAATGCATTAGTAGAAATTAAAAAAAAAAATTCTTTTCATTTCAAATTTTTTTTAAATTGTGTTAATATTTGACAATGATAGGATGACGATATCACGTTCAGATCAAGGCAACAGTTTGAAATAGAAACAATTTAGGCCTGCATCATGTGCCTGCTGTTTTTTACTTTCTCGTATATACGTAGTGTAGAGAAAGTATTGTAATCGTGCAAAAAAAAAAAAATCGAGATTTTTACAAATCTCGACGTTTTACACCTCACTGATACGGAAAAACATAATTTTGCAATCTTGTCCGTATGTCTGTGTGTGTGTGTGTCTGTGTGTCTGTCTGTCCGTGTGTAAACACGATAACTTGAGTACCGTTACAGCTAGGTTGATGAAATTTCATATATAAGTATTTTATCAAAATCGTAGATCCGTATCAACTTTTGAGCGATTTCCGATAACCGGAAGTGGTACTTTTCCTACTTTGAATTTTTCAAAAGCCTATAACTTGAGTACTATTTCAGATAGATAAATGAAATTTCACATGTAAGTAAAATATCTAATTCTCTACCTTCTGTTAAATTGTGAGTAATTTCCGTTGACTGGAAGTAGTAATTTACGCTACTTCCGATTTCTCAAAAAACTAATGTAAATTTTTTAAAGTACTAATAATATTGCGCACTATTATACGCGTTTTTATTCGGCGTTTGCTTGGTGCGCAATGTTTTTTTTATGAGATTCTATTCTATTTTTAAAAGTTTAAGTATTTAAAATG